TTAGTTTATTTTTAACTAGCTGACCCCGTGAACTCCGTTTCACCTACAATTTAATTTTGAATCTGCAAAATCGAATGCTTTGAAATCTTGCAGATGTTTTAAACATATGATAAGCATAATAAATTTTTATTCAAAATATATTTACTTATCCCCTCCAAAAAATTGATGGCGTCAACCCAAACTTTTGCCAAATGAATCATATCTAAAATGTCCAAAATAGGATGAGACTATACTTGTGATTTATCATTCCATTCATATTTTTTAGTTTTGCTTATAGGGGGTGTCTCAAAAAAATTAATCACTGACGGGCCAATTTCAAGTTGGTTTGCAATTAATTGCAAGCTGCGTTACTATGGTAACCTCGCAAAAATATAATGGTTTGTATTAAGAGTTCTACGAGATCACCATAGCAACGGAGCTTGCAATTAATTGCAAACCAACTTGAAATTGGCCCCTGAGTCAATTTATTTTATTGATTGAATCAAGAATTGCAAAACTGAATTTTGAAATATTGCAGACGTTTTGAAGTTACTGTTTGACATGGTAGGTTTTCAATCAAAATATATCTGTTTATCAAGCCCAAAAACTTGAAGACGTCATCTCAAGATTTTGCCGAATAAATCCTATCTAAAATGTGGAAAATATCATCAGTATATTTTCGTAATTTATCATTGCATTCATATTTTTTAGATTTGCTTTTACAGTGACTCAAAAAAATATATGGATCAGTCAATTTATTTTAGTGAATAACTCAAGAGTTGCAAAAATGAATACTTTGAGATCTTGCAGACGTTTTAAAGTTATTGTAGGCATGGTAAATTGTTAAGAATATTTATTTATTCCCCCCAAAAAATTGATGGAATGGCTCACTCGATTTTCGCAGATAATTTTGGGAATACAATACAGTTATTTTTAGTATTACACTGCACCAATCCAAGGTGGTATACCTACGTGTTGATAGTAAATGTTGTTTAGGTCATCACAAAATTGTGTGAAGAAAAGACTCAACTCGAAAATGCTGAATATGTTTCATTATACTTTTGGTGCGAAGGAAGTTCTGTCGAAACAACGTTCGATCAATTTTTTGACAATGGTTGATATAAATAAAACTCAGTAGATGCTCATACTCGAAATATGAAGTATCTACTCGAATATCAAATCAAAATATTTCTAGTTTTTCTAGATGATACTAATACTTCAGTAAGTAACAGTTGATGCTCAAGTAGCATCTCGATACAACAAAAAAGGACAACAATGACAGTGTTCAACCATCAAGGCAAAAATCGAGTCACCAAAATATAAGTTAGTATGGGGTAGACACCTTGAGATGGGAATCTCTATGGCCAGTGTTAGAAAAAACGCACTGCACAATTTATGCATAAATAAAAGTTAATTACATGAAAAGTTTTCGATATTCCTGCTCCTAATGTGTTTTTCAAACTGAATGCACCTTTTGACGACGGTCCACATTCATGAAAGTCACCATGTTTAGTTAAAATTCACTCTTACAACGATCCTACTGGTTTTCTAAGCTACTTTACAGACAGCTCAGTTATTTGCCACGCCGATGCTCATTTCTAGATTAAATGCTCACAAAACGCGTAGATGTTCAGTTTGTGGCCGGGGAGATACAATGTTTCCCAGTAGGTACTCAGTACATAGAGTAGATGTTCAGGTATATAAGAGTAATAATGAAGTAGGTACTTCGTACTTCGAATATAAGTATCTACTCAGTTTTATTCATACCACCCAATGTCTCGCTTCAATGTTTGACTATTATGTTGATTATGAGCACAACGCTGATCAACTTCCATATCCGTTTTTTTACGAAAAAACAAAGAACGATTTGAAATGCAATATACTTTTCACAATCGCACGATAGAATTAGTTTTGTATGACACTTCAGTTAGACGACAACCATTGAAATTAATTTGAAGTGGCGATTCCCATACAAAATTTTTAGGATTTTTTGATTTTTTAGCTGTTCTTTTAAGTTTCCCCTATTTTTTTAATTTATAAACAATCCCCGTAATATAAAAATTTCTTCAAATCGGTCAAGCCGTTTTTGAGTCTTAGCGAGACTAATAGGAACAGCAATTGATTTTTATTTTATAGATGACTAATAAATGGGGGTTGGTGGTAGAAAGGTGAAAATTTAGGGTTATGTGTATTTTTTGATGCCAAATCTTAGAAATATAAAAATAAAAAAAATTGTCAAAAAAATAGACAAAAATTTTTTAGGGTGGGCCACCCTTATCACTTAGGGGTTTAAAAAATAGTTTACAACCTATTGTCAGACCTACCGAATAGACATAAAAAATTTCATACAAATCGGTCTACTCATTTCGGAGAAGTTCGGTTACAAACATTGTGACGCGAGAATTTTATACATAATGCATTATTATTTTAGAACAAATTTCATTACCATAAAAAAGGCTATACTGACTCGACCTTAAAAGATAGACATATGCTGTCGCGGACTTTTCTTTAGAACTTTTAGAGGGGAACAATTTCGTCATACATGGTTTTTACGTAACTTTAACCGTTTAAGCAGCGTAAGCAACAGAAGCTGTCAAAGGAGGAATAATTTTCCCGTTTTTCCGAATTTTTCATTGCTACTTCGCTCCTAATGATCGTAGCGTGATTTTATATAGCCTATATGTAGATATGATACATGGACTATCCAACACAAAAAGATTTTTTGAATTTGAACCAGTAGTTTATGAGATTAGCGTGTTCAAATAAACAACAGCTTCAGCTTTATTATATTATAAGTATAGATTAAGCACACTATATATTTTTACATATTTTGATTGACCTCTTCAGTTTTCTTGAAATCTTTTGACAATGGAAGGTTATTAGGTAAGCTAAGGAAGTACGAGTATAGTAATCGAGTCCATCGGATGAATGGCCACTTTTATGTTTTCTTGACGTTTCATGACCTCCAGAGTACGCAAAAGTAGTCACCCATTTCCGTCATTACTCATTAGACACGTAATCTTCGAAACTACTGAACCGATGTTGTCAATTTTGTATGTGTATGAGGATTAGGAATTAGATGTAGATAGTAAAGCGCTAACCAAAATTTGACCATTCATTCCCACCAACAATTTGAAAATAATTGGAATAACGTCCTATTATAATTTCAAAAATAAATCATGATTGTAAAGCCTAAGAAGACAGCAATTAAAATACGTCAAGATATATATGGTGTTTTATATAAAAAACTAAGTTGTGTGTTACGCCTTAAAAACAGAACATTCTGTATATTTAAGAATAATTTTAGAATATAGTCCTCAAATAACCCTACAACTTTATTCTTTGACTTTTTTCTGTTTCAAATAAGAAATGAGAAATCGTGCTCTGTGCGCTAAATGACTCATCATGTTGGCATGTTTGGGTTATGAAGAACGTCTATTTTCAAACATTTTACTAAACTGGGGGACAGTATAGCAGTAGTAAACTTAGTAATGACCGTGAGATAAGTTATATGTACACAACAACTTACTTACAAGTCGGGTAATTACATACGTGAAAAAAAAGATATTTCAGTAAGTCACTGACTGCCCACATATTTATGTAGTGGGCATGTCATATTATGTACAACTTTTAATCTTTCTTGTATTTGATAAAGTAATAGATAAAAAGACGTTAACTAACTTGAAAATTTGACTAACAGGTGTAAGCGTCAGTTTAAACCATATAGCTAAATATCAAAAATTGTCGTTAAATAACGTAAAACTCATTTACTTATAATTTCCATTCGATATCTTATGAAAAAATATTTGTTTACTGAGTTCGGTATTCCTCTCAACAATAATTAGAAATAAAAAAAAAATGTTGTCCCACTGAAATACCTCGATATCAAATATTCGACCTGAATTAATGGTTGCCTATCTATCAGCCAACAAACATCGAAAAAACAATGACTTGATGTATAGTTTTGAAAACTTCATTCTACCCTATAAAATTTTATTGACAATAACGAGATGGACAATATTTATGGCTCAAACTAGTTCACCCGAATTTGTCGGAGAACATTAGTTGTATTCATAAAATAAAACGATGGTCCCTGTCCGAACTTGGATCATTCTGCTTTCTAACATCTGGGGATTATCGGCACGCGACAACTTCAAGTTGTAAATATCTTTTGCTATTGTACTACTGTCGGTCTCGCTATTGCTAATAAAATTTTATAGTGTAGAATGAAATTTCCAAAACTATACATCTTTTATAATCACGTTGTATATAAATATCGAGTGACTATTAATTTTTGTGATTTTTTTGTCAAGTTGGCGACATATTCAAAGTGTTGTGATGGCATACGGATTGTCAAATTGAAATTTATGGCACCAAATCAGTAGTTGCCATCTTCCCATCGTATTTGTTTGGCGAACTTATGACAAAAATAACAGGTGTGAATTGACAGTCCGGAATTGCTGTCATGAATTCAGAATTAGAGCACATTCACCTTCACAGCAGTACACTACACAATACTGTATTACTGGTTGCCTACAATCCAAAATAAAGTTAAATCCACTGACCAAACTTGTACGAGTACCATTTATAGAAGTTAAGCAAGTCGTAACTACCTAATACCGTATGATTGAAGAAAACTCCTCTAGTGGGCCGTGCAATTTATTTTTAACATACTTAATGTTGGCAACACTAACGCGTTATTTATTCAATTTGGCAGTTACGATCAAATAACTGTCAAATGAAGGGTCAATTAGCCAACATAGTTATTTTAAAAATAAAATGTACTATCTAACTATACGATTTTTTTCATCATACACTATTAGTTCTCTGAGAAAATATAATGCCTGTAAAATTACAATTAAAGTGGCGAAAATAATGTATACAATAATTAACAAAACGGACAATTATAAATAACGGAACCTGTTGGACTTGAAAAAAATCAACACTTATTTTTTACATTTTTATAACATAAACAAACGAGTAAAATTTTGGTACTAAATAAATTTTAGCAAAGTACTTACATGTCGCTGTAATACAAAGGTTCCTTCAATCTACTTCTTAACAATCGCCCTAACCTAACCATTCTTCCAACTTCAACCATCAGTTTCTCTCTTACACCAAAGTAATGTTTAACTCTTGCCTTCTTCTTCACCAAATCCATGAACGGAATTGTAGCCACAGCCTCTCTTAGATCCCTCAGTTGATTGCAGTGGTCCTCCACGGAACGGTGAAACACTGCGCTTACTCTTAATCTGGTCATTTGTTCTTGTGAAACGCTCAACAATCGTTGCCACGAGAATTTTAGTCCCCTATTAAGACCCTCGTGGTCCTCAAGGGGCAATTTGCATGATTGACGTAGCTGGAAGGAGGCGTAAAGAAGCTGACACCCATAATTGTAAGTATCCTGGAAGAAAATTACAAATATACTAAAACACAATTACAACACTACAGAATTAAATCATTCACAAAAAAGTGGGCCTGCAGCGGTTTTAAATGCATATTTCATTCATAATTGTTGCCCACAAGTGACATGGGTTAACAACATGTTTTACGGTACTTATGGAAGCAGTTTTTAATTTACATCTTAGTAAAAGCTTTTCCAAGTATCGGTATTACTGGTTGCCTGAAAACAGAAAAAATATACACACCTTTGCCGTTTCTTGAAAAGCCTGATGTTCATCCTTCTGGCCCTGAATTTCATATACCGTGCAGCCAACATGTCCGTGATCTTTGAGTAAAACTTGGAACAGTTCATCCAGCCACTGTATAGCTTGCGTTACATCCTTTTCATAATTGTAAATATGTGTAATTTGTTCCAGAGTCAACTTTTGCAACTCAACACTATCACTGAAGATATTTTTCCGCGCAGTAGTGGCGTCTAGTATGTCCCGAACGTTAACAATGTCTTCAGCATAATCCACATAAATTTCGCGTCCTAAAGCATCTTTGATGGGCATGGAGAGCATATCCGACAACTTTTCGCCTTCTTTGACCAACTCTCGTTCAACAGCATCTGCAAAACAAACGAAAGAACTCAACAACACAACAAAAGTTTGATCCCCACCTAGACTAGCTTGGCTTTCTTGCAATTGCTTCAACTTCTGACCTGCAGTTGTAAAATCAACAACTTTACTCCCCATCACCAACGAATCAAACACCTCCCCTGTCCTATCAAAGTACTCCGAAACCAACCGGAAAAACCTCAACGAAGTAATCAACACATTCCTCCTCTTCTCTAACCTCAAAGCAAAACTTCGACACACAAAATCCATGAAGTCCTTCTGCGACAACAGATCTTTGTACTGAAACGTCACCAACTCGCTCTTCGGGAACTGCTCAATCTTGTGCAACAATTCCGCGTACGCCCCATAGGTGTCCCAGCACTGCAACTCGATAGCTTCGTGCTCCCTCCTCAGCTCCTCAGCTGAAGCCACATCATAACCCACTTTCTGCTTAGAGTTCAAGAGATTCTCCGCAGGACCCAGAATCCAATTGGTTACTTTGACCACGCCGTCTTCCAGAAGACTCAAGTCTTTGGTGTCGATCACCGTTTTCTGGAGCTTCAACCATTCGTCTTCGATCTGCTGCTGTTTGGTCTTCATAGTGACGAGAAGGTGGTCGATGCGGTTAATGGTGTCGAGGATTTCTTGAGGAGTGGACATGGATTCGAATTCTGAGGCGAATTTGCGGGTCCGGTTGGCGTGCTCGATGGTCTGGAGGAGCTGCTGGCCGGTGTCTGTGAGGTTGTGCACCAGGAGTCGGGTCGCTTCGGCCATGTCGGTGCTAGCGGTGAGGACATCCTCCAGGTCGGAAGAGCGAAGCGTTTTGCAGGAGTTGAGGTACTGGAGGAGTTCGTCCAAGTCGCGAAGAGCCGTAGTGGTGTTGGAGTAGAAGTCTTCAACTTTCTGTAATTAAACAGGAAGACATTTTTTATCATTTTTTTCTGCATTATTACTTTTTTAATTTATTCCGCTTATGTGACCAATTATACGTTGAATGATTATGATTGACTAACGTGTCGATTGTAAAAAGCTCGTAACGTAGATTTACTTTTTTTTGAAACCAGCTGTATATGTAACGCGCGCGCTGTTGCCGTGGCAATATAACTCAATAAGCTTCCCGCCCAATTTCCAAAAATCCGCCTTATCCGCAACCCGGTCGTCCGCGCCAATCCCATTCGCAAATCGAGGTCACGAGGCCCGCCACACGTGACCCGTAACGCCGTGCCACATTTCGTCAAAGCCACCTGTCGTCAAACGCTTCCGCAACCAGCTGTGATCACGCCGAGATAACAAAACGCCAATTCTACGGTTTTATGGTCTTTTGATTAGACCATCGGCCGTTCCCGCCCACGACCATTGATTCGATCGACCCATGCATTCTTGCAAAGGCCATCGCGCCCATCCCACGCCGACTGTTGACTTCTTCGGCCGCCGAATTTACGATGATATCATCGCGAGGCCTCTTTTGGCTCTTATCGCCAAAATAAAACCGCGAAAGTAGCAAGGCCTGTCGAAAGAAGAGATCGTACCTGTCTGTTCTCGATCCACTTGTCGTGGTCGTAGATGAAGGTGCCGCCGAGCTCGAGAGGAAGCTGCGACTGGTCCACGAACTTGTTCAGGCGACATCTTGGAATGAAGATGACCTGTTAATGAAGAGAGATTTTTATTGGATTGCAAAAGAGTTGAGCGGTAGAGGGCAAGCGGTTGTGCGTGGAGAAAGAGCTACTCGGACTTTTCCTCGTGTTGGGTCAATGCTTTCGTGAAACTGGCGAAAAGCAATCTACATAAAATAACTATAATTCAAAATTAATTTGTAGTTGCTGCTAAATGCAAGAGGGATTTTAGTTTTTTGAACATCTGGTGTAAAAGCATTCGTGAGCTAAATTGATGCGGGTGGTCACTTGTTTTTGAAATTGAAATAAACGGCCACGTTTTATCTCTTGAGCTAAGTCATAAAAGGAAAAATTGAATGATTACAGAGAATTAAAAAATGTTTTCAAAGGCACTGTTACCTTTGGGGTGATTTCTTAGTATAATGTCAGAAACAAATCTTTCGAAAAACAACTTCTTAATCTAGGAGAAATTGTTAACCTTTGATTTCCAGCGGCTTTCAATTCTTTCAAACCTATATAGATTCTATACGAGTACAGAAGGTCATGCAAATAAAGTCAATGGAGTCAAGTCTGGCGACCTTGCAGGTCAATGAATTGTTCCAGTACGATCTATGCAATAATTTGGGAGTACAGCGTCTCGGACTTCCTGGATAAAATACCCAGGAAAATATCGTTTACACCAGTGATTTTCACTACTGATCGTTCACTAAATTGTTGTTTAGTTTGAGTTTTTAACTGAAGTTGATCCTGCCAGTGTTCAGTTACACACAGAAAATCAATCACACACCTCCCTATTAAGTAAATGTTCTAGTTGTAGTACACGTTAATTATAGATTGAACATTTTGGTAAATGATCCTAAGGCTGTTCAGATGGAATTTAGACCTTTCAGTTTTATGTTCATTTCCAATACAAATTTGGTGTTCTTATTTCAAAATTGTGTTTTGGTATTTGAATAACGCATGTAAGTTTTTGGAAAAAAAAAAACAAAATTGTCCGAGATTTTACAATTTAACTTAGAAATTGCACAAATGAATGCTCTGAATTTTTTCATACGTTTTAATGTTGTCGTAAATGTAGTAAATCGCTGATCAAAATTCGTCTGTTCGTTCCACCCAAAAATATGGGATAACCTCATATTAAAATTCCGTGAATTAAATTGGCTTGCACTTTATAATTTGACACTATCATTAAAAACTCCAAATTTTACAGTATTAGATATAATTTAAATTTTATATCCTCCGTTTATAGTTTATGAATCCGTGTTGAGTTTTTACCTTAGACGTCAAGATTTTTGGAAAAAATCAACATTTTCCAATTTTGTCGAATAAATGTTATTTAAATGTTAAAAAGTAGCATAGGCCTGAACTTGTGGTTTATAAATACGCTTATTGAGATTTTTCAGCTGTAGATGTCTCAATTTTTCAATGTTTACAATTTCAAATTTTCGATTTCTCAATTTTTTATTTTATTTCAAATTTTGACGTTTCTCAAGTTTCAGTTTTCCGATTTCTAAACTAATCTTTTTTTAATTTTACATTTTCTCGACTTCCCAAAGTTTCGATTTGTTTCAATTTTTCAATTTTTCGATTTTTCAGGTTTTTTAATTTTTCAATTTTTTAAGCTTACGATTTTTCGACTGTGCTTTTTAATTTTTCGATTTCTCACTTTTCAAATTTTTTAAATTCTCAATTTTTTGGATATTTCTTTCAGTATTTCAATTTTTCGACTTTTCGATTTTTGGACTCTTGGATTTTTTAATCTTTTGATTTTGAATTTTTCGTTAAACTTTAGATTTTTCAATTTTTGACTGTTTTATACTTCGATTTCTCAATCTTTCAATTTTTCGATGTTTTAATTTTCACTTTTAAAAATTCTAGGTTTTTCCATTTCTCGAGTTTTCAGTTCTTCTATATTTCCATTTCTAATTTTCAAAATTTTTGAATTTTCGATTTTTCCAATTTTTTTTTTCAGTTTTTCGATTTTTAACTTTTTCTTCACAGCTTTCCACTCCTCGACTTCTCGATCCTCTGCTTTTTCGATTTCTCGATGTCTCAGTTTTTTCATTTCTCGATGTTTCGATTTTTGGATTTCTCGGTTTTTCGATTTTTTACTTTTGGGCTTTTCAATTTTTCGATGTTTCGATTTTTCAGTTATCCGATTTTTCAATTTTTCAATTTTTTAAATTCTGGAGTTCGATTTCTCGATTTTCAGTTTTTCGAATTTTAAATTTTAGATTTTAGAATTTCTATGTTTTGATTTGTTGACGTTTGGAAAAATTTGGATTCGTTTTTCAATTTGGGATATTTTAATAGTTCAATGTTTTATATTTTAGAATTTTCGATTTCTCGATTTTTTGATTTTTCAGTTTTTCAGTATTTCTATTTTTCAGTTTTTCAAATTTTGACGTTGCTAAACATTCAGTTTTCCGATTTCTCAATTAATCTATTTTTGATTTTCCCATTTCTCGACTCCTCGAAGTTTGGATTTTTCAGTTCTACAATTCTCCGATTTTTCGATTTTTTGACTTTGGTTTTTTGGTTTTTCGATTTTTCAATTTTCCAATTTTTTCATTTCTGAATTTTTGGATATTTCTTTCAGTTTCGGCATTTTCCAGTATTTTGACTCTCCGAATTTTCGGTTTTTCGTTTTTTAAACTTTAGATTTTTCAATTTTTCGACTGTTTTATATTTCAATTTCACAAATTTTCAACTTTTCGATATTTTAATTTTTCAATTTTTCGAGTTTTCAGTTCTTCTATAATTTAATTTTTCAATTTTCTGAATTTTAAAATCTTCAATTTTTCAATTTCTTGAGACTTTTCGACTCCTCGATTTCTCGACCTTTTGATTTTTCGATCTTTTACTTTTCGGTTTTTCGATTTTTGAATTATACGATTTTTCAATTACTCAATTTTTTAAATTTTCGAGTTTTGTATTCTCGATTTGTTGAATTTTCAATTTTTCGAGTTTCTATTTCTCGATTTGGTGATTTTTCAGGTTTTGATTTTTAAATTTTAGATTTCGAATTTTTAATTTTTTAAATTTTTTGATGTTTCTATTTCTCCATTTTTCAATTTTAGGTTATTTTAATTTTTCAGTGTTTTAAATTTTAGATTTTTCGATTTTTCGGTTCTTCAGTATTTTTTAATCTTTCAAATTTTGACGTTTCTGACCTTTCAGTTTTCCAATTTCTCAATTAATCTATTTTTTGATTTTTCCATTTCCCAACTTCCCAAAATTTCGATTTTTCAGTTCTTCAGTTCTTCGATTCGATTTTTCAGGTTTTTGATTTTTCAATTTATCGATTTTATAAGTTTGCGATTTTTCGACTTTGATTTTTTGACTTTTCGATTTCCCAATTTTTCATTTTTTCGATTCTTCAATTTTTTTTCTATTTTTCTATTTTTCGATTTTTAATTTTTCGCATTTTCAGTTTATCGTTTTTTAAACTTTAGATTTTTCAATTTTTCGATTGTTTTATATTTCAATTTCTCAAATTTTTAACTCTTCTGTAATTTAATTTTTCAATTTTCCGAATTTTTCAATCGCATTTTAATTTTTTTTAATTTTTTGATGTTTCGATTTCTTCATTTTTCAATTTTACGATTTTTTCATTTCTCAAATTTTGACGTTTCTGAATTTCAGTTTTCCGATTTCTCAATTAATCTATTTTTCATTTTCCCATTTCCCGACTTCCCAAAATTTAGATTTTTCAGTTCTTCAGTTCTTCAATTTTTCGATTTTTCAGGTTTTTGATTTTTCAATTTTTCCATTTTTAAGTTTGTGATTTTTCGACTTTGATTTTTGGCTTTTCGATTTCCCAATTGTTCAGTTTTTTAATTTCCCAATTTTTATTATATTTTTGAATTTTTCGATATTTCAGTTTTGGGATTTTTTAGTAGTTCGACTTTTTACTTTTTGGATTTATAATTTGTCGTTTTTTAAACTTTAGATTTTTTAATTTTTCGACTGTTTTATACTTCAATTTCGAAAATTTTCAACTTTTCGATATTTTAACTTTTCAATTTTTAAAATTTTGTTTTTCGATTTTCTCAAAATAGTTTGTCAAAATCGAGTGAAACATGTGAAATGTGATATTGTGTTTGTAAATAAAAACATCTAAATAATAACTATTTCCCCCAGAAATTCTAAACGCTTAGAGTCGACATTGGCGTGAGCGCGCTGGGGTCTGTCGATCCAACAAGTTCTCAGGCAACGAGTTTTCCACGTGCTGATTTTAAAAATATCCCTACAAGTCCAGTAATCAGGCTTATTAGCTACGTATCATGTGACTAGAGAAGAAGAAGAAGGTTCAAATGATAAAAATTATAACAAAGAACAAAATCGAAATATATTATTTTATAAAATTTAAATGATATTGAATAAGGAAAATTCTAAAGTGAAGTGATTACAGTGTTGGTGGGGATGATCAGACAAAAAATTCCTTTTAACGTTTTACCTTCTAATATAAAAAGAGACTCTAGAAACACTTCAGCAAAATTTTGTCTCAGCAGGCAAAAATCAAAACTTAAACTTGGTTTAAATCAGTTTTGATTTGTTTTTCAAGCTGCCACACAAATTACAAACAACTTAGACAAGTATGTAACTGTATAGTTGTGAAAAGGTTGATTAAAACTCTAAAAACTCAACTTAATTAAAATCTTATTACAAAAATTTCACCAAACAGTATAAATCACAAACAAAGATTTATTACACGCATAGTTCTCATTAAGAAAAATTTCTCCGAAAGTTGTCCCAAAAAAATATAGCTTGCAGCATCAAATTTCACCTAATCTAAGACATTGTATAACATACTTCTTCAGAGTTTGGGTAGACTTTTTTATGCTTTTAATACTGACTGTGGAAAAGTAATTAGAAAGCATTAGCTAATATTTAATGGTTTTTTAAATGGTTAAACAGGATATTAAACTTAAGTTAAAAAATTATATGAATGAATAAATTTCATTTAAAGATTAATTTCCCTAAATTGAATGAATAATTATTTATTTTTTGTGCACTGTTTATTGTAACAAGATTATTATTTTTAAGATGTGAAAATTCATTTTGTGATTTTTGATTATTATTAAGCTAAGTTACTTTTTTTTATTACAGAACTATCAACTTTACAAAATATATAAAATGTTCAAGATGTTTTAAAAATGTCGAGAAAAATTCCTGCCTTACTGCTCTTATTAATAACTTTGGCCGTTTTGAACTTTAACAAATCTTTAAATGCAAAGATCCTTACTTAGTCGTCTATAATTCACTCAGGATTCCCCTCAACAATAATAATTGATAAAATGGAGAATGAAAAAGTTTTAACAAAAAAGTAACGATAAAATCTAAACCACAGCTGGCAATACACATAGGTACGTTATCGATTTAATATCTCCTGTTGCCATAGAAAAGCGTATTTAATATTAAACTATTCTGGAGGCCACATTTGATGATATCTTTGCTACTATATTAATTTTCAATTAAGGTGCTGCTTCTGTTTGATTATTATTTTCTAAAAACATTTGGAACATTATTTTCGTTATTAATTCTTAGGCAAGTTTTTATTTTTATAAGTCCAAATTAAATAAAACTATATATTACAAACAATGAAGAAATGATTTACTCTGTTTTCAGTCCTTAAATCACCGAAACATTATTTAAGATAAATTATAAATTTACCGTTTCTTTCATTTTTTGTTTAACATAATAAACAAAAATTGCCACATGTCTTTGGATTTCCCATGGAAGGTAATTATTACGATTTTTAAACTTCTGTATGCGATTTTTAAATAGTGGTTATTAAGATATCTGCAGACTGTGTTTATTTATTTAATTAATTTATTAATATTGTACGTTGCTATGGTCGTATCAACACACAACATGTTAAAAATAAACTACCTACTTGTTAAGCCAGATAAAATCACTGACTGATTAAAACACCTGGCATTTACACAAACTTATTGAGCTTTGTGGCTGGTCATTTTTTTTACACACACAATCGAAAAACATTGGTAGATATGACGGAAAGATACAAAAAAGATAAAACATAAAGAGAGAAAGATCTATGTTTACAAAGAGGAAAGAACCTATCTCCGAAACAATTAAAGCTTGAAAGCTTTTCATAGGTCAGTATGTTCTTATTTTCAGTATGGAGTGGACATCGAAATTATTGGAACTATTTTTCGGATGCGTTAATGACCTATTGTACTCAGAAAGACACCATTATGTAGTGCGAAACATTTTCCAAATCATTAAATCACTTTAGAAGATAAATTCTATTTCAACAAGTCTAATACAAATTTAAAAAAATGTCTGCAGTGTTGGTTTGAGTTGGTGAACAGTTATCTGTGTAACTAGTGTGTAAAGTGGCACTTTATCACACAAAAGTGAAGTGAAAAAAGTTTCGCGAACGAGTTACACACATAAACTGTGTGCTGTCAGGATGATTTTAACAATTAAAACTGAAAAATTGATTTAGTTACGTTGATCTAGCAATGAAAACTTGTTTTTCGTATCTGAATAAAGCACTTCTTAAAAAATTGCTGCGTTTTCCACTTTTTAGCTTGCAACCAAAATAATCGTTAAATATAATAATATTTAGAACTTTGGTTTTCATATAAATTATTCGCAAAAATCTTAAGTGAAATGGAAGACCTACTTTTGCATATTTCAAGCTTTTTGCATCTTATTGAAAATTTTGATAAAACAGTAATTTAGATAGAATTTAACTAAACTTGATTGGCCCTCAAGCTTGAAAAGTGAAAAACTAATGTACGTTGAAAGTACTACATAGTACGTGGTAATTAGTGCTATTTTACAGCCATCTAAATTAATATAATTTATCTATAAAAACAATTGGGAGTGTCGTTTCGTTGCACTTTCAATTTAATTAATATTTTATTGTTTCAAAGCATTACCATATTATTTATAACGTATTTTTCTAAGTATCGCAGTAAGCATTGATTTGATTTCAATAAAATTTTTGAAATACATTGCCAAATTTTCTGATGACGTCAAAAATTTTTTCGAATGAAGAAACTTATATGGTTCTTGCTCAAGCAGGCAAGGTTTGAAATTTTTTAATAAACAAACAATTTACATCAGTCGTTAAAAACGCAAAAGTTACGATCACTTTTTTTGGAAGATCTACATAAACAACTATCCACACACGACCATATATAAAATTATTATGAATAAAGAAAGATTCATAAATATGTATTAGTCGAAATTAATAAATTTTAATATCACCCTACAAAAATTTGCAAATTTGGAGGCTAAAAGGCTGTAGTCGAATTGTGGATTTCACCGATATGTAGCGGATTTCACTGAAAATTAGAACCACATGCCACTAGTTTATCCCAGGAAGTTTATTTAATTATAGCCTTAATTAAATGTTTTTCAAAAAATCCAAACTACTGGAAAGTCTCGTTGTACGACTACCTGTTTACGCAATGGTTTCCGTTTTATTGCTACAAAGAAGACATCGTTGAAAGTGTATAATTATATGTAATAACTTTTATAATTAACAATCAGTAACAAGTTCATACGAGATTACTAGTTCTCATGGAAAGTACTAGTATTTTTTAGACATGAAAAGCACCGAGATCTGATTTTAAGATATTTTCATTAAACTTTGACCTAAATAAAGTGTGTCAAAATTTCAGCCAAAGTCCACCCACAAAGTTCAAGTGTTTGAGAACGTCATGGAAATAAATGTACGTCAACGCGAAGAAACATAAACTGTTAAAGCATGAAAATTATTGTTTACTTATCTGAATTATGCAATAGCCTTGATGGAGCACTTTTGCTGTTTTACAGTTATGAAAGCAACAATTACCAACAACGAGTAATAAATCAATAAACTCTTTAATGCGACAATGACAATGGAGTAATTAAAAAATTGTTTCATGGTAGCTAGATAACATTAATGGTAATAATGGAAAATAACGCATTGACTAGAAACTATCTCAATGTGAAATAAAACCAGAAACTTCCAAAAATGTTAAAATTTTCTGCAGCCACTTCTCTAGGAAAGCAATTTCATTGAACACGTCACCGCTGAAAAATGTCACCACCATAAAATATCTCTATCTGGGTAAATTATGACCATGATACGTGCATAAACAGCAAAGCACTTTTAAAAACATACTGCGCATTCACACAAGTGTTTTTTAACAATAGTTTTTCTGATTAATTAGCTGCATAAGTTAATAAGATTCAAATCTTAACACCTTGATCGAAATCATTTGAGTACTACTTGTATGTTCACCGATAACATAAACACATTAGTTTATCTAAAGTGAAAACATACATTCAATATATATATTTTTAAACGATCGAAACAAGTGGAAACAAATTTGAAAGATCTAGAAGTTTTCGTTTTTAAATATGCGTAAAAGATTGATCTACTCCTATTTATGATAATTTTCATTGTTCGTACTCGTCACAACTGTTGAAAGATCATTTATATTCTCCACAATAATTGCCCCATTTGTGTTATACGAAAGTCAAAGTAACCGGAGTCTTCAAGCGAGTTACGAAAACAATGATGCGTGACTGAAATCAGCAGTTTCCTGAATTAATTCATAGACTTGTGTGTATTTTACAGTATTTATGAGTGAAAGTGGAAAATATGGTACAAGAATTGATGAGAAATAATCGTTCTTTCAACTCGGTTTTCAACATAATAATGCCAGTAATTAACACGTTACGAGAACGCTCCCAAAAGGTCCGAAGCTAAAACCAGTTTCAAAACTAGTGACTTTCGAACCGTTACTTGGAGTAAGTAGGTTGCATCATTTCTACAGATGTATCTTTAGAAAATTTTGCCCAAATATGGAGCAACAGTAGGAGTGTTGGCCGAGATTTATAAGATTTAATCGTCTCGCTGTTATTCATGTAAAAGAACAAAGTATATCAAATTTCTTACTTGAAAATTATAAACATTTGCATTATCCTCTTTTAAACCATGGACTCAAAGGTTAGCAGAATTAGCCAAACCGTGACTAATTTTTTTACAAACAACATTTATTTATGACCCCCTTTAGGAAAATTTTGTACCCACATCTCACATCCAAAATCCCCCTAAGCTCCCTCTCGAATTGTACCTTGAACATCTCCATTCCACTGTTGCTAACGCCAGTAACCCAATTAGTCCAGAATTATTGTTCAAAGTGTAATCTACAGGTATTATATGAAGTGCTTTATTTTCGCTTGTTTTTTTTAGATTAAAGGTTGATGCAACTTCACACTCGAGCACCGTAATTTAATCCTATCGGTTATTATTTTTACCTGGCCGTCGGTTTGCGTACAATTTTCCACTCGCTGCTTGTCCCAAAAGGCGTCCGGACGCAGTACTATGGTTTGAGCGGGCTCTTCCTGGGCGAATACGGTGCTGACTTGGCGAATGCAGGACCGGGCCACGCGCCAAGGACCCTTCCGGGCGTCGATCAGGACGGTGACGCCGCGGGTCCGACTGGATTCGCTTTAAAAACCAAAAAATAAAAATTAACCAACTGAAATGTGTTTTTGTCGTTTTTTATTTGTGATGGATGAGGTTTCTAATGTGTCTGTACGTGACACAATTTCAGATAATGAGGTGGTACTTAATGCATTGTAGTTATTTCTTTTTTGCAAACAAGTGGCACTTATGGTTTTTTTTGACCCGATTTCTCTCTGCTTTTTTTCGTAACTGGTTCTAATTGGAACAGATTTTTGTAGCAGTTGTAACATGTTTTTCAAATGGAGTATCATTAGTGTTTTTTTTTATTTCATTAATAATAATAACTTCGACCCATTTTTTCCTATAATACATACTTATTTTTACAGGAACTATAATTCAAGAGTTAATCTGACATTGGGTTTGTTCCACAATAGAAGAACATATAATTAGTAATAGTAAGATAGAATAAAAAATATCATCTGAAGGGTGAGCAATGAAAAATAACTGACTTATTGCAAAATCCCCATTACTATCACAAAAAGTTGAATTAATTTGCAAAAAGATAATTAATTATGGTCACTCTACACAGTTATATCTACTAGTTTAATTTAAATACTTAATGCACGCTATTAATAAATGATTTACATCTAGAGGGCCGTGAGTACGGTTTGACCTTTCCCCGAGAACTTTCGAAAATTCCTACTATTTTTCAGAATAGAATAAATTAATGTTTCGGATATTTTAAAAATATGGTTTCTAAGAGGAATATTTCGAAAATCTTGATCAGAGATCATCAACGCGATGTTTTTTGACTTAGCTCGTCGAGATCCCAGACTTTTTGTTGATTTTTGGCAACTTAGCCAGAAACTCAATTTTTCAATAACCGCCTGTATGAAATTTGTGACATTTCCCCAAGAATTTTCTAAAATTGCCAAAAGAGATTATTTTGTTAATTCGGATTTCAACAAGTTTTTTTGGCTTCATTTCATCAAAAATTCCTACTATTTTTCCAAAATAGTCAAAATGGAAAAAAATAATGTTCCGGATATTTTAAAAATGTTACTTTTAAATCAAATATTTCGAAAATCTTGATTAGGGATTCAGTTCGTCGAGATCTATATCCCAGAATTTTTGGAGATTTTTTGCAACTTCGCCAAAAGCTCAATGGTTCAGCATGTATGAACTTTCGAAAATTGCCGAAAGAGATTATTTTGTTGATTTCGACCTCTACAAGTTTTTTCGGCTTTATTTCTTCTAAAATTCCTATTCTTCCAGAACACCCAGCACGTTGTGTTTTTCGATTCAGGTCGAGTTCCATATCCCAGAATGTTTTCTAAATTTTTTTGCAACGTTGCCAAAAGCTCAATTTTTCAGCCTGTAAGAAATTTTTGAACTTTCCTAGAAAACTTTCGAAAATTTCCAAACGAGGTTCTTTTGTTGATTTCGATTTTTACAAGTTTCTTCGACTTTATTTCCTCGACGATTCCTAATATTTTTCCAAAATAGCAAAATGAAATAAATTAATTTTTGGGATATTTCAAAAATTTTAATTTGAAATTGAACAGTATTTCGAAAATCTTGGTCCGGTATCCTGAACACGTTGGTTTTCAATTCAACACATCGAGATCTATATCTCAGAATTTTTTGTAGATATTTTAACAACTTCGCCAGAAGCTTAATTTTTCCATAACCGCCTGTATGAAATTTTTAACATTTCCCCAAGAATTTTCGAAAATTGCTAAAAGGGATTATGTTGTTAATTCGGATTTCAACAAGTTTTTTCGGCTTCATTTCATCGAAAATTCCTACTATTATTCCAAAATAGTCAAAATGGAAAAAATTAATGTTTCGGATATTTTAAAAGTGTTGCTTTTAAATCAAATATTTCGAAAATCTTGATTAGAGATTCAGTTGTCGAGATCTATATCCCAGAATTTTTGAGATTGTTTTGTAACTTCGCCAAAAGCTCAATGGTTCAGCATGTATGAACTTTCGAAAATTGCCCAAAGAGATTATTTTGTTGATTTCGACTTCTACAAGTTTTTTCGGCTTTATTTCTTCGAAAATTTCTACTATTTTTCCAGAATACCCAGCACGTTGTGTTTTTCGATTCAGGTCGAGTTCAATATCCCAGAATTTTTTCTACATTTTTTTGCAACTTCGCCAAAAGCTCAATTCTTCAGTCTGTAAGAAATTTTTGAACTTTCCTCGAAAACTTTCGAAAATTTCCAAACGAGGTTCTTTTGTTGATTTCGATTTTTACAAGTTTCTTCGACTTTATTTCCTCGACGATTCCTAATATTTTTCCAAAATAGCCAAAATGAAATAAATTAATTTTTGGGATATTTCAAAAATTTTAATTTGAAATTGAACAGTATTTCGAAAATCTTGGTCCGGTATCCTGAACACGTTGGTTTTCAATTCAGCTCATCGAGATGTATATCTCAGAATTTTTTGTAGATATTTTAACAACTTCGCCAGAAGCTCAATTTTTCCATAACCGCCTGTATGAAATTTTTAACATTTCCCCAAGAATTTTCAAAAATTGCTAAAAGGGATTATGCTGTTAATTCGGATTTCAACAAGTTTTTTCGGCTTCATTTCATCGAAAATTCCTACTATTATTCCAAAATAGTCAAAATGGAAAAAATTAATGTTTCGGATATTTTAAAAGTGTTGCTTTTAAATCAAATATTTCGAAAATCTTGATTAGAGATTCAGTTCGTCGAGATCTTTATCCCAGAATTTTTGAGATTGTTTTGTAACTTCGCCAAAAGCTCAATGGTTCAGCATGTATGAACTTTCGAAAATTGCCCAAAGAGATTATTTTGTTGATTTCGACTTCTACAAGTTTTTTCGGCTTTATTTCTTCGAAAATTCCTACTATTTTCCAGAATACCCAGCACGTTGTGTTTTTCGATTCAGGTCGAGTTCAATATCCCAGAATTTTTCCTAAATTTTTTTGCAACTTCGCCAAAAGCTCAATTTTTCAGCCTGCAAGAAATTTTTGAACTTTCCTCGAAAACTTTCGAAAATTTCCAAACGAGGTTCTTTTGTTGATTTCGATTTTTACAAGTTTCTTCGACTTTATTTCCTCGAAGATTCCTACTATTTTACCAAAATAGCCAAAATGAAATAAATGAATTTTTGGAATATTTCTAAACTTTTAATTTGAAATTGAACAGTATTTCGAGAATCTTGATCCGAGATCATGAACACGTTGGTTTTCGATTCAACTCGTCGAGATCTATATCTCAGAATTTTTTGTAGATATTTTAACAACTGCGCAAGAAGCTCAATTTTTCCATAACCGTCTGTATGAAATTTTTGACATTTCCCCAAGAATTTTCGAAAATTGCCAAAAGAGATTATTTTGTTAATTCGGATTTCAACAAGTTTTTTGGGCTCTATTTCATCGAAAATTCCTACTATTATTCCAAAATAGTCAAAATGGAAGAAATTAATGTTTCGAATATTTTAAAAATGTTGCTTTTAAATCAAATATTTCGAAAATCTTGATTAGGGATTCAGTTCGTCGAGATCTATATCCCACAATTTTTGGAGATTTTTTTGTAGCTTCGCCAAAAGCTCAATGGTTCAGCATGTATGAACTTTCGAAAATTGCCGAAAGAGCTTATTTTGTTGATTTCGACTTTTACAAGTTTTTTCGGCTTTATTTCTTCGAAAATTCCTACTGTTTTTCCAGAATACCAAGCACGTTGTGTTTTTCGATTCAGGTCGAGTTCCATATCCTAGGATTTTTTCTAAATTTTTTTGAAATTTCGCCAAAAGCTCAATTTTTCAGCCTATAAGAAATTTTTGAACTTTCCTCGAGAACTTTCGAAAATTTCCAAACGAGGTTCTTTTGTTGATTTCGATTTTTACAAGTCTCTTCGACTTTATTTCCTCGACGATTCCTAATATTTTTCCAAAATAGCCAAAATGAAATAAATTAATTTTTGGAATATTTCAAAAAATTTAATTTGAAATTGAACAGTATTTCGAAAATCTTGGTCCTGTATCCTGAACACGTTGGTTTTCAATTCAGCTCATCGAGATCTATATCTCAGAATTGTTTGTAGATATTTTAACAACTTCGCCAGAAGTTCAATTTTTCCATGACCGCCTGTATGAAATTTTTGACATTTTCCCTAAGAATTTTCGAAAATTTCCAAAAGAGGTTATTTTGTTAATTAGGATTTCAACAAGTTTTTTCGGCTTCATTTCATCGAAAATTCCTACTATTTCTCCAAAATATTTAGTCAAAATGGAAGAAATTAATGTTTCAGATATTTTAAAAATGTTGCTTTTAAATCAAATATTTCGAAAATCTTGATTAGGGATTCAGTTCGTCGAGATCTATATCCCAGAATTTTTGGAGATTTTTTGTAACTTCGCCAAAAGCTCAATGGTTCAGCATGTATGAACTTTCGAAAATTCCCGAAAGAGATTATTTTGTTGATTTCGACTTCTACAAGTTTTTTCGGCTTTATTTTTTCGAAGATTCCTAGTATTTTTGCAAAATAGCTAAAATAAAATCAATGAATTTTTAGGACATTTGAAAAATCTTAATTTGAGAATTTTTTGTTGATATTTTAACAACTACGCCAAAAGCTCACTTTTACAATAATCGCCTTTTTGAAATTTTTTATCTTTCCCGGAGAACTTTCGAAAATTGCCAAAACAGATCTTTCGTTGATTTCTACAAATTTATTTCGGGTTTATTTTTTCGAAAATTCCTGCTGTTTTTCCAAAATATGAAATTAACATTTTTTTGGGATATTTTAAAAATGTTACTTCTAAATCCACTATACTTCGAAAATCGTAATCAGGGATCATCAACGCGTTATATTTTTCGATTCAGCTGATCGTACCTATATCCAAGAATTTTTAGCAATTTCTCCAAAAGCTCAATTTTTCAGCAACAAACTGAAATTTTTACGTCTTCCCGAGAACTTTCGAAAATTGCCAGAATTTTTTTCGACCTTATTTCGTCAAAAATTTCTATTTTTCTAGAACTGCGAAAATGAAATAAATTAATTTGACACTTTCGAAAAATACAGTTTTTTGGCACTAGAACTTGAATAAAATCTCTTATTAGATATATCGAAATTCTGGAGTCCACATTTTTAGATATCCTTTGTGCTTTAAAGAAATAAACGTTAAAATTTGATTCAAAGTTTGACAATTAATTGACAGATTAATTAATTTAGCAAAAATTCAAATGAAGCGGTTGATCTCGCCTGACAATTCTTTAGATCTGTCACTTGTCAAATTTGACACTTGTCAACATTGTGAAAATTTTTTATCACATTACTAAAGTTGGTCAAGGCGAATCATATTTGTACCAAGAGTTTATATTTTTGTTCAGAAAGAAAGAAAAATACGTTATTATTTTTTATATAGATATTTGTCAGCATTTTTGTTCAATTTCACTACTATTTTTAAAAATTACATCATTAAAAATATAAAATTGTGCAACTGGTACAATTCGATTATAATGTGGCTCTAAAACATCTATACATATCAAAAAAGGTATCTTTAAGAATATAGTATACAGGGTGAGTCACTAAAAAGCGATATTTCACTAATTATAGAGAATAAACAAAAAGTCACAGACTAACGTTGTAGGGTCCTCTGAGTAGCATACATTTAAAAATTATTTTCGTCTGTATAGAATGTTCTAGGTTTGATGCATAAATGCACAAATTAGTTTTTTTTTTAATGATACAGCCTACATATTTTTTACATATTCTAATTGACCCCTTCGTAATCTTTATTTTTGAAATTCCAATGCAACGTTCCACGTTATTCCAATATTCTTGAAGTTTCGTATAATGGAAGTGTTTATAAAAAAAAGCAAACACTTGGATTATTTTTAAAACCTGTGTACAATATTTTGTACACAGACGCGCTTTGGTGTGCTATAAATGAAATTGGCTCTTAATTTGTAGATAGTGTTTATAAATTTTTTTTTTAAATGTTCAAATATTTTATCGCTGGATCTTGTTTCCTTTCTCTATTTTTTAAGTATTTTCTATATTTAATGTTGATAGTTATTTTGATTTTCACATTGAAAAAGAGAGAACAAATATTAAGTAAAAGTAAAAAGCAATAATAAAGTACAGGTGTCCTATTTGAAAAAACTGAAAAATCAAAATTTAATTCAGTTGATACCCCCAACAACGCGCGCATCTCTGTTTATTTTTCTATAAAATATTGTAATAGAGGTTTTAAAAACCCTACTAATGAACAAACGAAAGTTTTTTTTATTTCCTGATACCACCATATTTAAAAATGGAATCTGGAATTTTGCACAAAAACTTTTAGTTATGTTATTTGATAAACAAAAAATGAACAGTGTTTTAACATATTTATATAGGGTGATTGAATTTGCAAACTGTCGGTTTTTTATTTTATTTAGATGAGACACCTGTATTTATCTCTAAGTAAGCTATAAAATGTTATATAAAATCCAAACGTCTATCTTTAAAAATGGTAAAGCTGTGAATCTTTAAAAGTAACCTATTGTTCCTTAGAAACGTACTTCAATATCTTGTTAACCTTTACATCTGCCGTCGTTTTTTCTCTTTTATCATAATCTAAATCTGTAAAAATATATAGGGTGTTTCCTTTCAAAAAAATACTAAACTGGTATTATAAATTGTGGCTGGAAGTCAGTTCTGTCACAGTGTATCAAGATAATTTTTATGGTAACACTGTTTTTGAAAGGAAGTAAAATTTAGCTTAACACCTAAAAAAAATTTTTAATTTTTCCTTTTAACGTGTACAATTTGTACTAATTTAATAACTAACCATTCGAAGCAAATATACAAACAAAAATGACCAAACACATTTATTTCAAAGTGTGATAAAGTGTTTATTAATGCATAATTAATTAAGTTCAATTGTTAGTTTCAGACAATAAAGTACCCACTTTTTTCAAAACCAAAACCGATAATCACCGATTTTTAGTTATTATCAGCGGCATCGCGATAAAGGTGTCATAGCCCTATTCAAAATTGAAGTTCGAAAACACTTTCTTTGTCTGTGCCAATGTCTAGATTCCTATTTTGACCAAATTTTGCAAAATAATAGTAAACACTTCAGACTTAGCCCCACGTCAAAATTCGTCACAGTTCGTATTTTCTTATCGATTAGATTTTTATAAAATGGAATGACTCGACAGTTTTTGGCACACAGGCGTAAATGCTCATTATTTTGAAGCTGTTGTCATCTCAATTGCCACTTATTGCAGAATAAACACTTAAATAAATTGGTGTAATTTTCCAAAAACAAGCACGATATTAACCACATCGCGAACAAAATTCTAAAAAAGAAACTATTATGTGTCAGTGAATAAGAAAACTATAAAACCGCCTACATTTTTCATTGAACTTCACACTCAATGAATCGATTTTGCTGTTTTTGGGCAAGTTCAACACTCGTTTAATGTACGATCGATTCATAAATAATGCAGTAGTTGCAAAATACCTCACCGAGGACAACTTCTTGTTTCATAGATAAACAAACACATTTTCATTACCTGAATATCGAAAGAAGGTACTGAAGAGACGGAACGATGTTGGGGGGCCGACTTTCAGTCGGCAGGTTGACCAGGAAAATGGGGCGCCCTTCCTTATCATGCCCTCCGGGTAGCACGACAGTACGCCCCTGCAGACATGATATACCGGGTCTCAGTTCCATGACCTTGACAATAAAAATTATTTTTAGCGGTTGTATATTCAAAATGTCACAAAGAGATTAATCGTTTAGATAAAAGTGATACAGAACACTCGAGATGTCAAAGTGTATTTTTTATCTCTAAATGTGTATGGAGATTTTTCGAATTGTGTAGATCGATAAATTTACGATCTGGTCTAAATCGGGAAAATTACTAGATAATGTTGTAACGACGGGTATTTTTAGAGGTTCTGTCACATTTGGAGAACCTCTTCTGTATACTTAGTAAAAGTTCAAGTTTAGTGTCTGACAATTTAATAAAACACGTTCTAATAGAATATGTACTAAATTCATTAAGTGTTCATTAAAATCGTAGTGGGAGATGTATTGGATTCAAATTTTAAAAAATGGTACAGACTAAAGTACTTGTGTGTTATGAATCCGCTTTGTTTATTACTTATAATTTATTAGTTGCATGCACTGTTTTTTAACTGCTTTAAATAAAATTCCTTTGAATCGTTATACGTAAACAATTTACAAAAAGATCCCTACTAGACAAACACGTCAAATACCATATGATCGAAAACAGTCGTAAAAATAACGATATTGGCATTAATAACTATGGGTTCTTCCCCAGAAATACGTCAATATATGTGGTCACACAACAAACATAACGTTTAAAAATTATACACCTCTTCCTTTTACTCTAGAAATGTGAACCATTTTAGAACCTTCTTTCCACACCTTAATGTTTTTCCGCTTTAAGTAGTTCGTTCCTCTTGTTGCTTGAATGATTCTTTTTTACTGCTTCTATCTGTTTGCAAGCGGAAAATTGTAGGTTAAGTGTCCGGAAGGGAGATAATCTGACGACGATATTCCAAGGAGATAAAAAAAATCGTTTATCTTAATGACAATGAAGTAACCATGAAATTAGTTCTGACTAAACGTCACACAATGAGAAATTGCATGAAATTTTCAAAATACTTGTCTTGGGTTATTTTTGAGAATCTTACAAAATTGTCATTCAAAAGAAATAAATAAAATTTTCTATTCAATTTTTTAATATGAAACAAAGGGCATTGCTGAATAAACATACATTTTTAACTGTTATAATCATCTAACTGGAACTATATATATACACACATGTACAGTGTATTCTATCAAATTACTTTATAACCGTTACCTATTTAGGAAGCAAATTATGCGATGGAGAATATTATACAAAAAAAAGTTCACTTACGAACATAATAAATTTAATAGTAGTGCTTCCGGTTTCAAAATCCTGTAATGCAAACTTGTATCAGATAGTGTAACAAAAATTTTAGAAAATGCCACTTGACAATACAGTTGCTGATTACTATTGAACAAGAAATTATAAGAAAATTTTTAAATCTACACACTGTTGGGTGAAATTATAACCGGTACCCGTTGATAAAAAATTGAAAAAAAAAAAGCCCAAGTAGACTTTAAGCTACTATATTCAAATGAAAGTTAATATACTTAATTGGAATGTGTAGAATATACAGTTACCAACAAAAAAGTAAACTGATACTTTGTCAGTGAACTGTCCACATAATTTTATCCGCTCTGTTAGGCATCAAGTTCATAAATTCGATCATGTTTTCAATCAAACATTTCCCTATTTCTGCTTCACCGTAGTAAACCGGCGTGAGCACACAATTAAGAATTTTATTTCGCCAGACACGCAACCGATTCGTAAAAATTAAACCTTGATAATATTATAAGCCGAAGGTTTATTTATTACTCAATGTTCCAACATTTCCTTTCGTAGCAACACAAATTTTTCCCCAAAAAATAGTAAACACTTCATGACTCACGGTAAGACGTCTCGTACTCACTGCTAATCCCGGAGCCGTGAGTAATTATAACTCCAAAAATCTCCATACGCTATTTTCGGCAAATGCAAGATAATAAAAATTAACGAAAAACAAGTGTTTGCGACACCACAGCGTATTGTTCTCACTATCAGTTTTTACATATTTCACAAACCCTTTTGATTCAAATCAATTACACACAAGTGGTTTGTTATTATCATTATTATCACAAAGCACACTCGGCGGTTAATTTCTTTTGCATTGCTTACCGGCAAATGCCACCAACTACCCAACGATCCCAATCTTCGTGTCACATTCTTGCACTGTTATTATGGGCACGTCAGCTCGCGCGGTACCACCGTCATGGTACTGCCAGTGGTTCGCTCGATGCTAGACATTTACAAGACCGGACCCAGAGTATGTCACGGTATTTGACCAATGCGCGCGAGAGATCGCTGCTTGGGCGAGAACACCAATAAATATTGATTCGTCGGTAGTTGAATGCCAACTTAGTTGACATTAATCCGTCAGAAAATCGGACAAGGAGTATGAAACCCCTAAAAGTCTTTTCAGGAAAAATGGTAGAATGTCTAGGCAAAGTACCAGCGACTGCCTGCGGCATTCCAACGGTACCTCGACACCGATCACGCAGCATTGCAATACACAACCATCGATATGCGATTCAATGGTACCACACCAATACGAAAGTAGCACAGCCTTGTCAACCCCAGGGGGTACTGACGGTGTTTAGTACCTCTAAATCACTAATTATGCAGGCTGAAACGCCGTATTCTTGGCAATGAACTTCGAAAGCTATCTTAACTAAAAATTAATAATTTTGGGCCGCGGAATCACCTAATCGGAGAATCTAAAGTTCTAACCGGGTTCTACTCGAAAAGATCTTGTTCAATAAAGAACAGAGGTCAAAGTATGGATGTACATCTGGTTTTTAAAATTTGTCATAAACACTCGAGATAATAATGTGTTACCATAATTAGCAGCCAGGTGACACCTGAATTCATAAGGGTCATGGTTCTTATCTCTACTTGAGGATCTAACTATCTAACCAAATGTTCGTAATATAAGTGGTTTCTAAAATTGATCTTTTGTCTGAAGTACTTCGAATAAGTGAAATTGATTCTGAAAAATGGACATGAAAAATTAATGCATTCAAAACACACATATTTAACCTTTACAGAAGGAACATATAAAAATATATATTTTAGAAAAAAAAAATGAAGCTCACTGGTAGTACTATTCAATCGCAACTATCACATGCATAGATAGTGTTTGAAGTGTGTTTATTAAGATCACTGCAATTTTTCAAGTACCACTTGAGATTGCCTAATTCCAGATTATTGGGAAAAAATGATGGCTTAGTTTAATTATGCACATGATCAAAGTACGAAGTACTATCATTTACAGCAAAAATGGGCCTATAAAAACTGCACGTCTCAAACCAATTTATCAGTGCGACTTCAAAGCTAGCAAAGGTAACAAATGAAATTAAAACAAAAAACATAAATTAATAAATAATTCCTGTTTCTTTCACAGATGAAGACGATTTTTGTGTTCCTTGCGCTTGTTGGTCTTAGCTTTGGTGCTCCTAGACCCCATAGTCCGGTGCACCACAAGCATGTCCCCAGAAGCCTGATTGACGACCTGCAAGACTTTTTGGACCTCCTGCCACTTGACGACATCAAAGCCATTGCTGACGATCATCTGCAAACCGATGGTGCTTTTGCCGCTGTTGTTATCTACCTTCAAGGACCTGAATGGGAAGCCCTCGTCGACGAAGTCGGCTCCAAGCCTGCCGTTCAAGACTTTATCCAATACCTTACCGATGCTGGTCTCCCAGTGACAGACATCATTGCTTGGATCCACGATCTCATTGCTGGAGCCGCTCCTGGAATTGAACCTGATGAAGATGGATCTCTCAGACCTCTCCTTGACGAAATCGAAGCCATCCTCCCTGTTGACGATCTCATTGCTTTGTTGAACGACAAACTCCAAAACAGCCCTGACTTCCAAGCTTTGTACACTGAAGTGTCCAGTGAGGAAGCTCATGCTCTCGTTGAAGAAGTCCGTGCCATCGATGAAGTTCAACGCCTTGCTCAACGTCTCAGAGATTTCGGTGTCAAAGTCGACGAAACTTTGGCTGTCATCTACGAATTCTTGGGTTGGGGTGAACCAGTTGTTAAAAAATCCCCCAGAAGCTTGATTGATGACCTCCAAGATTTTTTGGACCTTCTGCCACTCGACGACATCAAAGCCATTGCTGACGATCATCTGCAAACCGATGGTGCTTTTGCCGCTGTTGTTATCTACCTTCAAGGACCTGAATGGGAAGCCCTCGTTGACGAAGTCGGCTCCAAGCCTGCCGTTCAAGACTTTATCCAATACCTTACCGATGCTGGTCTCCCAGTGACAGACATCATTGCTTGGATCCACGATCTCATTGCTGGTGCCGCTCCTGGAATCGAACCTGATGAAAATGGATCTCTCAGACCTCTCCTTGACGAAATCGAAGCCATTATTCCTGTTGACGATCTCATCGCTTTGTTGAACGACAAACTCCAAAACAGCCCCGACTTCCAAGCTTTGTACACTGAAGTGTCCAGTGAGGAAGCTCATGCTCTCGTTGAAGAAGTTCGTGCCATCGATGAAGTTCAACGCCTTGCTCAACGTCTCAGAGATTTCGGTGTCAAAGTCGACGAAACTTTGGCTGTCATCTACGAATTCTTGGGTTGGGGTGAACCAGTTGTTAAAAAATCCCCCAGAAGCTTGATTGATGATCTCCAAGATTTTTTGGACCTTCTGCCCCTTGACGACATCAAAGCCATTGCTGACGATCATCTGCAAACCGATGGTGCTTTTGCCGCTGTTGTTATCTACCTTCAAGGACCTGAATGGGAAGCCCTCGTCGACGAAGTCGGCTCCAAGCCTGCCGTTCAAGACTTTATCCAATACCTTACCGATGCTGGTCTCCCAGTGACAGACATCATTGATTGGATCCACAATCTCATTGCTGGTGCCGCTCCTGGAATCGAACCTGATGAAAATGGATCTCTCAGACCTCTCCTTGACGAAATCGAAGCCATTATTCCTGTTGACGATCTCATCGCTTTGTTGAACGACAAACTCCAAAACAGCCCCGACTTCCAAGCTTTGTACACTGAAGTGTCCAGTGAGGAAGCTCATGCTCTCGTTGAAGAAGTTCGTGCCATCGATGAAGTCCAACGCCTTGCTCAACGTCTCAGAGATTTCGGTGTCAAAGTCGACGAAACCTTGGCTGTCATCTACGAATTCTTGGGTTGGGGTGAACCAGTTGTTAAAAAATCCCCCAGAAGCTTGATTGATGACCTCCAAGACTTTTTGGACCTTCTGCCACTTGACGACATCAAAGCCATTGCTGACGATCACCTGCAAACCGATGGTGCTTTTGCCGCTGTTGTTATCTATCTTCAAGGACCTGAATGGGAAGCCCTCGTCGACGAAGTCGGCTCCAAGCCTGCCGTTCAAGACTTTATCCAATACCTTACCGATGCTGGTCTCCCAGTGACAGACATCATTGATTGGATCCACAATCTCATTGCTGGTGCCGCTCCTGGAATCGAACCTGATGAAAATGGATCTCTCAGACCTCTCCTTGACGAAATCGAAGCCATTATTCCTGTTGACGATCTCATCGCTTTGTTGAACGACAAACTCCAAAACAGCCCCGACTTCCAAGCTTTGTACACTGAAGTGTCCAGTGAGGAAGCTCATGCTCTCGTTGAAGAAGTTCGTGCCATCGATGAAGTTCAACGCCTTGCTCAACGTCTCAGAGATTTCGGTGTCAAAGTCGACGAAACTTTGGCTGTCATCTACGAATTCTTGGGTTGGGGTGAACCAGTTGTTAAAAAATCCCCCAGAAGCTTGATTGATGATCTCCAAGATTTTTTGGACCTTCTGCCCCTTGACGACATCAAAGCCATTGCTGACGATCATCTGCAAACCGATGGTGCTTTTGCCGCTGTTGTTATCTACCTTCAAGGACCTGAATGGGAAGCCCTCGTCGACGAAGTCGGCTCCAAGCCTGCCGTTCAAGACTTTATCCAATACCTTACCGATGCTGGTCTCCCAGTGACAGACATCATTGATTGGATCCACAATCTCATTGCTGGTGCCGCTCCTGGAATCGAACCTGATGAAAATGGATCTCTCAGACCTCTCCTTGACGAAATCGAAGCCATTATTCCTGTTGACGATCTCATCGCTTTGTTGAACGACAAACTCCAAAACAGCCCCGACTTCCAAGCTTTGTACACTGAAGTGTCCAGTGAGGAAGCTCATGCTCTCGTTGAAGAAGTTCGTGCCATCGATGAAGTCCAACGCCTTGCTCAACGTCTCAGAGATTTCGGTGTCAAAGTCGACGAAACCTTGGCTGTCATCTACGAATTCTTGGGTTGGGGTGAACCAGTTGTTAAAAAATCCCCCAGAAGCTTGATTGATGACCTCCAAGACTTTTTGGACCTTCTGCCACTTGACGACATCAAAGCCATTGCTGACGATCACCTGCAAACCGATGGTGCTTTTGCCGCTGTTGTTATCTATCTTCAAGGACCTGAATGGGAAGCCCTTGTTGACGAAGTCGGCTCCAAGCCTGCCGTTCAAGACTTTATCCAATACCTTACCGATGCTGGTCTCCCAGTGACAGACATCATTGATTGGATCCACAATCTCATTGCTGGTGCCGCTCCTGGAATCGAACCTGATGAAAATGGATCTCTCAGACCTCTCCTTGACGAAATCGAAGCCATTATTCCTGTTGACGATCTCATCGCTTTGTTGAACGACAAACTCCAAAACAGCCCCGACTTCCAAGCTTTGTACACTGAAGTGTCCAGTGAGGAAGCTCATGCTCTCGTTGAAGAAGTTCGTGCCATCGATGAAGTTCAACGCCTTGCTCAACGTCTCAGAGATTTCGGTGTCAAAGTCGACGAAACTTTGGCTGTCATCTACGAATTCTTGGGATGGGGCGAACCAAAACATTTCTAAATTAGAAATTGTTGTTTGTAAATAATTGTAATTATGTTTATAAATAATTATTATGTACAGTGTTTTGAAAAATTTGTGATTTAAGATATCAGAAAATCGTTTCCTTATTAAACTAAATAATTTTTTTTTCAAAAAATCTGTTTTTATATCGGTAACGAGACGCTCTCCTGGTATTAATGGGTACCGTCTGCGTACATTGCTGCACACAAAAAACACATGAGTACAAGAAGTAGAACTGTAATTTTATCCATCAAAGCACCAAATATAGTAACAGCTTTCCTTTTCTATACAAAAAATTTTTATGATAGTTTAAGCCAATTAACTTCACAGTGGGTCATACCCATCATAAACTGCAATTTTAAAACTGGACAGACAGAAGACCAGTAATCCGAGCGGTTCTTCGCTACCCTTCTTCTAGTTGGATAGAAGCGACGCATGCCAGGCCGGTGGGATACTCAGTGGGCGTACAGCTTAGCCAACCCTTTGTGATGACATTGTAAAATTTTATTGTATACAAATCGACCGTTTTTACTATATGATCTAGCACTGAGATTATCATTGCAAGCGTTTATTGAACGCGAAAACGAAAACGTAGATCCTTTGTACTTGCCGAGCGTCAGGTCCGAAAATATTATAATAGGGTCTCTTTAACTAAGGGCTAATTTCGTGCTTTCCAAATGTCTCGTATAGTAAACCAAAAGGTATTAGGTTATATGGTCATCTTAAAATTATCCCATTGTGTCGAAGTTAAGTTGTTTACAATAGAAAAGGTTTTAGGTTCTTAAATAACTTGTCTACTGCAGTTCGACCGACTGCTGTCGTTTCGTTCAGGCGCGACTTTCACTAAATATCTAATTCTAAGCAAGAAATGTTTAGAAGACTATTTATTGCCAACCGGTAAGCTTAGTGCGAACCACACAAAGAGGGTATTTATTTGCGGTCAACTACTTTTATGATGGTCATAGTTATAACCTTATAGCTCTTGGGCTACTTTGCCTCCTAGGATCGGAGAAAGTAGGTTCCCATCTCCGTATGCTCGTCTGTCGTCTGTTGACGATTTTATTGGACTAGTAATGTCCGAAACTAAAGTACAGATTGGTAGTTTTTCCAGAAACAGTAGCGATTGTAGACGACAGGGCAGTTGACGTAACAGTTTCTGTGGCAAAAATTTGAGCCAAGTTAATTTTCCGTAATCTTTTTGCGATTGAAGATTATATTTATTTAAAACGTACAGCATTCGAAACAAAGAGAAAGATGCACACATATGAGTAAAATGTGCCGTCAAGGATTGTGCTTCTTGTAATTATAATGAGTAACCGAAAGTACATGTTTTCAAAAGGAACCCGTTTAGTTTTTTGCAACAATATTATTATTTCTTCTTTATTTTTTAGTTTGAGGTTAAATTTTGTTCACTTTGTGTTGTAAAGCAGCCATAAGTGCTACTTACACAATTATTTACGAATCAGATAGGCATAACATCTATTTACAAAACTGAATTAAAAATATTATTAAAACTATAATTCGATAGAATTACATGAACTAACACAGCTATTGTTCTGTTATAAAAAGTCTTGTAACTGGTTTTAATATTAATAATAAATAATAATAATAACGTTTATTACCCAACAGTCATAAGTAAATAAAATAAAATAAAATCAATATCAATAATGATTATATTAGTAACGAAATTAAATCTACAGATCTATAATGACTGCATGGTAAATTCGTCTAATAGAAAAGGATCAATAATGCCCCGTACTGAATAAACACCATGTTTTTTGAAATACAAATACTTTAAGAATCTTTTTGGCAATTTTTGAATATTTCTCTTATGGATTTTATACCACGGGACCATACTACCGAAGCATATTATAATCAACCCGAATATCTTGATGAAGCTATTTACTATCCCGGCTACACGTTTATTAAAAAAAACTAAGGCAGCTATCAAAGAGAACTCCAAGATCATTCATATTGTAAGTCTTGGCAAGCGATTCATTAGAAATTTTATACTCATATAATAACCAATTCCATTTTCTTGTGCACGTCAATCACATTGCACTTCATGTCATTAAGTACATTTAAGTTTATTTTCATACACTACAAAATGTTCTTTTGCAGTTTGAAATAGTCTTCATAAAAACGCTTGTAGTTCTGGATTTGTAAATTATTTAGAAAAAAAAACAAAGATTTCGATTGTTTTCACAAAAGTGAATCAAACTGATTTAAATTAAACAGATTACGTGTTTCTTGGTAATCACTCTAGCACTCTGTTTATTCGATATGTGATCAGAAAGATAAGCAAAAGAAACAATGATACAAGAAAATAATGTATTTTTAATTTGGATGGACCAGCTGTCAAAATGATAAATTAACCCACTTCTTTAACGTTATCTATAAGATTAACAATTATTTTGTTCTCAAGTAATTTAAAAATAGTTATCTAATTCAAAAATCGTCAATTGTTTACGATCATTTTGCTATAAAATCAATGCTTACTCCCTCCGAAATCAGTTTCCTTGGTGTTCCGGTGAAATCAAGACTAAGGTAAGCACTAAATATTTCATACCCTAAATTATTAAAATATTACTTCTCTGCTTAGATGAAACTGTTGTTGGTGTTCTTGGCGTGCCTGGGAGTCGGCTTTGCCGCTCCTAGTGTTCACCGTCCGGTAAAAGAAATTAGCCACAGAGACCTTCTGTCAGATTTCCTAGAAATCGTTGCCCTCCTTCCTCTCGATGACATTCTTGCCATCCTTGATGAACACGTCGCCAGTGACCCTGCGGTCGCCGCTGTCATCACCTACCTGCAAAGTGATGCTTGGAACGGTCTCGTGGATGAGGTTCTCGCCAAACCCACGGCTGTAGAATTCATCGATTATCTCAACAATGCTGGAATCCCAGTCGATATGCTCATTTCTGCCATCAAGGGCATCATCGATGGTGCCGTTCCTGGTGTTGATCCCGATGAAACCGCAAGTCTCAGACCTTTCCTAGACGAAGTCATTGCTATTATCCCTCTTGACGATCTTCTTGCTTTGGTCAACGACAAACTCCAAAACAGTCCTGATTTCCAAGACTTGTACACCACCATCGCCAGCGAAGATGGCAAAGCTTTGGTTGACGAAGTCCTCCAGATGCCTGAAGCTGTCCACATTCAAGAATTGCTCACCGCTCAAGAAGTTGACGTAGCCGGAGTTTTGGCCGCAGTTTACGAATTTTTCGGATGGGGTGCTCCACCAACAGCCAGAAAAATCAGCCACAGAGACCTTCTGTCAGATTTCCTAGAAATCGTTGCCCTCCTTCCTCTCGATGACATTCTTGCCATCCTTGATGAACACGTCGCCAGTGACCCTGCGGTCGCCGCTGTCATCACCTACCTGCAAAGTGATGCTTGGAACGGTCTCGTGGATGAGGTTCTCGCCAAACCCACGGCTGTAGAATTCATCGATTATCTCAACAATGCTGGAATCCCAGTCGATATGCTCATTTCTGCCATCAAGGGCATCATCGATGGTGCCGTTCCTGGTGTTGATCCCGATGAAACCGCAAGTCTCAGACCTTTCCTAGACGAAGTCATTGCTATTATCCCTCTTGACGATCTTCTTGCTTTGGTCAACGACAAACTCCAAAACAGTCCTGATTTCCAAGACTTGTACACCACCATCGCCAGCGAAGATGGCAAAGCTTTGGTTGACGAAGTCCTCCAGATGCCTGAAGCTGTCCACATTCAAGAATTGCTCACCGCTCAAGAAGTTGACGTAGCCGGAGTTTTGGCCGCAGTTTACGAATTTTTCGGATGGGGTGCTCCACCAACAGCCAGAAAAATCAGCCACAGAGACCTTCTGTCAGATTTCCTAGAAATCGTTGCCCTCCTTCCTCTCGATGACATTCTTGCCATCCTTGATGAACACGTCGCCAGTGACCCTGCGGTCGCCGCTGTCATCACCTACCTGCAAAGTGATGCTTGGAACGGTCTCGTGGATGAGGTTCTCGCCAAACCCACGGCTGTAGAATTCATCGATTATCTCAACAATGCTGGAATCCCAGTCGATATGCTCATTTCTGCCATCAAGGGCATCATCGATGGTGCCGTTCCTGGTGTTGATCCCGATGAAACCGCAAGTCTCAGACCTTTCCTAGACGAAGTCATTGCTATTATCCCTCTTGACGATCTTCTTGCTTTGGTCAACGACAAACTCCAAAACAGTCCTGATTTCCAAGACTTGTACACCACCATCGCCAGCGAAGATGGCAAAGCTTTGGTTGACGAAGTCCTCCAGATGCCGGAAGCTGTCCACATTCAAGAATTGCTCACCGCTCAAGAAGTTGACGTAGCCGGAGTTTTGGCCGCAGTTTACGAATTTTTCGGATGGGGTGCTCCACCAACAGCCAGAAAAATCAGCCACAGAGACCTTCTGTCAGATTTCCTAGAAATCGTTGCCCTCCTTCCTCTCGATGACATTCTTGCCATCCTTGATGAACACGTCGCCAGTGACCCTGCGGTCGCCGCTGTCATCACCTACCTGCAAAGTGATGCTTGGAACGGTCTCGTGGATGAGGTTCTCGCCAAACCCACGGCTGTAGAATTCATCGATTATCTCAACAATGCTGGAATCCCAGTCGATATGCTCATTTCTGCCATCAAGGGCATCATCGATGGTGCCGTTCCTGGTGTTGATCCCGATGAAACCGCAAGTCTCAGACCTTTCCTAGACGAAGTCATTGCTATTATCCCTCTTGACGATCTTCTTGCTTTGGTCAACGACAAACTCCAAAACAGTCCTGATTTCCAAGACTTGTACACCACCATCGCCAGCGAAGATGGCAAAGCTTTGGTTGACGAAGTCCTCCAGATGCCTGAAGCTGTCCACATTCAAGAATTGCTCACCGCTCAAGAAGTTGACGTAGCCGGAGTTTTGGCCGCAGTTTACGAATTTTTCGGATGGGGTGCTCCACCAACAGCCAGAAAAATCAGCCACAGGGACCTTCTGTCAGATTTCCTAGAAATCGTTGCCCTCCTTCCTATCGATGACATTCTTGCCATCCTTGATGAACACGTCGCCAGTGACCCTGCGGTCGCCGCTGTCATCACCTACCTGCAAAGTGATGCTTGGAACGGTCTCGTGGATGAGGTTCTCGCCAAACCCACAGCTGTAGAATTCATCGATTATCTCAACAACGCTGGAATCCCAGTCGATATGCTCATTTCTGCCATCAAGGGCATCATCGATGGTGCCGTTCCTGGTGTTGATCCCGATGAAACCGCAAGTCTCAGACCTTTCCTAGACGAAGTCATTGCTATTATCCCTCTTGACGATCTTCTTGCTTTGGTCAACGACAAACTCCAAAACAGTCCTGATTTTCAAGACTTGTACACTACCATCGCCAGCGAAGATGGCAAAGCTTTGGTTGACGAAGTCCTCCAGATGCCGGAAGCTGTCCACATTCAAGAATTGCTCACCGCTCAAGAAGTTGACGTAGCTGGAGTTTTGGCCGCAGTCTACGAATTCTTCGGTTGGGGCGCACCACCAAAATAACTTTTTTTTTGATAAAAATGTTTATTTGACACGAATCCCACTTCTACAATAAAGTGTCATGATATTTTGATTTATTTTGACATTATTATTTTAGAATTCCTTTATTTTAATAAACCAATGTAATACATAGTACCTACATATTTCTTATTTTGTTTTGAAAGAGAAGTATACTGAACCCACCATTTTATGTCCTTCTAACTTTGGACAACTTTAAAGTTAAAGATTCTCAACCTCTCGTCATTAAAGCCATAAACCACCAGCTTAACTCTGTAATTCAAGTAAATTTCAAAGTGTCACGCTTATGATTATCATTTTGACGAGGATTCCCACCGCCTGTGTTGTTATGACATTATTCGTCTAAATGAGTCTAAGTGGTCATAAAACTTTGTTAGGACCAAGAAATGGTGAGTTTATGTATAATTGTAAACAAAAAGGCAGTTGATTTAATTATCATTTTGTTGATTAAAAAACTCGGACGAAGTTAATTGCTGTAGAATTCAACGATTATCTCAACAATGCCGGAATCCCAGTCGAATTCATTACTGCCTGGACCAAGGACATCATCAATGATGAATGATGACACTCCAGGAGTTAAACCCGATGAAACTGGAAGTCTTAGGCCGTACCTTGATGATTCTGCATCTATCATGCTATAGAGGGGTATAAAGCTTTGATAAACGATAAACTTCACAATGACCCCTATTTCTAAAATTTTTACCTTACCGTTGCTAGTGAAAAAGTCCAAGCTTTGGCTGATGCAGTCCTCCCGATGCCTGAAGCTGTAAACATTCAGAAAAAACTAACCACCCAAGAAGTTGACGTAGCCAGAGAACTGGACGCAATTTACGAGTCCTTCGGATAGGGTTCTCCACCCACGCCCAGCAACAGTTCTCTTTTGCTAGAAATTTTTGCTGCGGGCCCTCTAGGTGATCTTCTTGCGGTCTTCTATGGACACGTCGGCTATGACCCTGCGGTCGTATCTGTCTTCGTGGCGCTTGGAATACTCTTGTCGATGAAGTTCTCGCCAAACCCACTGCTCAAGGATTCATTGATTATCTCAAAAATTCCGGAATCTCAACGGATTTGGTTATTTTTACCATCAAGAGTATCATCGATGTCACTCCAGGAATTGAACCCGATGAAATTTCAACTCTTAGATCTTTCCTCGACGAAAGTGAAGCCATAATCCCTGTTGACGATATCCTCCTTGTATTAACTGAAAAATCCCTACATAGTCCGTATTTCCAAGATTTCTACACCACCAAGATATCAAAGCTTTGGTTGATGAAGTCCTTCAGACGCCTGAAGTTGTAGATATTAAAAAAAAAAACTAACCAAGCAAGAAATTGACGTAACCGAAGTATTGAATGCTATCTACGAATTCTTAGGTTGGGGCGCACCACCAAAATAACTCTTTTGTTCTAAAAATGTCGAGTTTGACTTTGTTATTGATTGAATATCAATCTTTCTCTAAACTGTTATTTTGTTCCGATATTTTTTCTGCACGTTCTTATTCCACAAATTGTTTAAAAAAATCAACCTTGCAGTTTCCGATTGCCTTAGCAACCACTAAACAAACCCTAAACAGACGAAAAAACACACAAGACAAACCCTCCTTCTGAATTTCCTCAAACTCGAACCTTGTATACCAAAATGGTAAGTCGACTAACCCAAAACGACTTCTTTAACCCCCAAATTATCCAGGTTTTATTCGCTTATGTCGTATTTGCAATCTTGCAAACATCGTTCTCTCTTCCTGTTATGGAAAATGCCAGTCCTTTTGACGACCTCAAGGACTTCCTTCCTGTGAAGGAAATACAGGAACTGAAAACGAGACATCTTCAAAACGATCCGAGCTTCCAGGCTACTGTAACATACTTCAAATCTCCGGAGTGGATCGCCATGGTCGAAGACGTCCGCAACAACCCCGAGTGGATCGAGTACAAGAACTTTCTCAAAGAAGCCGGACTCGACTTCGACGTCATGATTAAACAGTTAAACGTTTGCGTTAACGATACAGATGTCACAGGTTTTAAAATAGAAGGGGTGCAGCCGAGTCTTGCTAGTTTCATCCAGGATGTGAAAGCTACTTACGGAATCCAGATTTTAAAAGGGTTGCAGGAATATCTGGAGAAGAGTGGCCAGAATGAAGCTAACAAAAAGCTGAGAGAAAAACTTTCAAGCCCCACTTCTAGGGATCTGTTGGAGAAGGCTTTGGCACAACCTGCTTTGCAGAAGATCATGATGAAATTGAAAGAAATTGGTGTTGATATTGACTATTTTCTCCAGATGATATACGGTTTTAGCGGATGGGAGATGACCACTATTAAACCTTGAACGTGTTAATTTTTATTTCTGTTTTCTATTTATGTTCTCTAGACTGGTTTTGTATGTATTCTTTGTGTAGTAATTGTTTTATTCAATAAAGAATTATTTTTGTGTATTATGTAGTTTCAGGTCTGTCAAACCAGTCAAACTAATTCAGCTGATCATATTTTTAAAACCTCAAAACACTGTGAATATGCACAAATGTAAAAATTAATAATTCATTGACAACTCAAGATAGGTATATCACTACAGTTTAGACGAGTAAGTAACCGCCCTTAATAAAATTATTAACGTAATGTTTTATCTGTTATAAATGCGTAATTTTACATGACTGATATGAATATTTCTTCACGAAAATAACATTATTAGAAATCTATTATCCATAATGAGGATCAGTAAGCCCCTAACTACAATTTTAATTCTTTCAAAGATTCAAATCCCGTGTTTTGTTGGTTCCTGACTATACGTCTCATTTCAGCATTTTCCTCATGGATATTGTAGCAGGTTCGTTCTATATTTATCTGGTGCTGGCACAGTGGTGACGGTCTTGCGAAGATGATAGTGTGCTATGGGGAACACTCACGCTAAGCCCCATCCTCGACCAAGAAACAAGAAACAAGTACACTGGAAAGCTGCAGGTAGTTGTGGTTTTTTGAAAATTCCATGTCAAGTTTGGCGGTGCTAGATCGGGCCGGACGATGGCTTTTGTAGATTTATAGCTGAAATTTGGTGTTATTTCTGTACGCGCTGTTTTTACTGTGTGGCTTATTTTTATCTGCGGCAACGCTGCATAGTCGGTATGTCATTGTTATTAAAATTTACTCTTGGATGAGGGGGCTTGAGATAGGAAAAGTAGAATACTGTAGGAGTTACTTGTACATGACAGATTTCGAAACTGTTTTTGTTGCTATTGCGACAAATAATAGCATCATAATTTGTCAGTGAGGAGCTATTGTTAATACTGACAGGTCTATAGAATGACAACAATGGAAAGATAACCGTAGAAGTGAACAAGTTTTGAAAATCCCCGTTTCTAAAAATAACGATTGCATGAACCAATAAAGTAAGCAAATTGATATCGTTAATAAGAAGTTTTATGGTGTAGTAAATTTATGAAAACAAAATAGCGTTTAACGACTTACCTGATTTCTTTATTTTGATTATCCCCCCTTGTTTTTTAAAGTCTGTTTTAGGTTTTCTTTTTTATAAATTTGGCACACACATGTAAAGAATTCTTCAAAAATGCTTGTTGGCTGTTTGTCAACTCAACTTTGCTTCAGATTAAAAGAAAACCGTTTTAACTTTCAGTTTGATGAATATTTTAATGTTGAAAAACAGTGGCGTAACGAAGCATGCGGGCTGAAACTTTTTGACTCTCATGATTTTTTTTTCTATAAAATTTGCGCTTTTGATATTCCTTTTTTTACGCCACTAATTCTAAAAGTATGAGCAGTTTGCGAATGTTCGGTCTATTTACGGCTGATTTAAAAAAAAATCTCAAGTAGTACGCTCTAGGTTATTTTTCAGCAAAATAACTCGCACGATGATGCCTTTTGCACTTTACAAGCAAGCTGCACCTCTGCATATTTTAATTTTTTAAATCTGGAATGAACTCTTGCACTGGCGTCTGGCACATTAGCTGCAGTAGAAGATGAAATTCTTAATACAGTGCCTTATTGGATACCACTTTTTTTCTTGTAAGGAATCACTTATCATTCCTTTCATTAATCTTTTTTTTTGACATTTTCATTTTCAAATTGTCTTGGGGAGTGAGTCTACACGACAGTAAGACAATTATACAGATGATACCCCATAGAAGCTTCGTTAAAAAGCAGGAAATAATCTTTGTACGGCACTGTGTTACCACAATCTTTAGATCATGATAAATTTAAAGATTGGCAGTTTCAGATGTTCAAGAAATTCAGGCAAATGTGGACAATAAAAGCCCTGAGCCTTTCAAGAGTTGTGGTAAGAAAGTAGAATTCCTAGAAAATTTCTAGCAGCTAGTTACATTATTAGACACGAGTGACTTGTACTAAGTGTCCAAAAGTTTGTTTAAAAGCAATAGTTGCCTAATTGGTGGAATTTCGATATGTGGCAACAACCAAATTTAATGACAATTTGAATGGGTTCAGATCTGAATACTTGTTTGAAAACACAGGAAGTGTAATCGAAATTAAAGTTTACCACGTGTAAAATTATGTTTTGGGGTAAGTCAACAATCATCTATGTGTTTGTACTATTTTCTGATTTAGCATGTGCTGGTTACATGAACAAAGTAAACCAATCAATTATGTTTAAAACAAACCATCACCTAATGGAATGATCTCTATCGATAAAATTTCTAATAATTGTACATTTTTAAAAAAAACATAAAAACAACAAAAATCCATTATCTTTTGTATTACACTTGAGTATTTAATAGTCCGTACTTAAGTGACATGTGTTAATAAGTGTAATGTATTATTAAAGATGCCATTAAATTTGGATTTTACTGCTGTAATCTTTCTATTAATAGGAAAATATTGCCTCTTGGACACAAAGGGACACCTAGTATAATCCACGGCGAAAATTGTGAAAAATTATCAATTATTATCCGTTGCAACCCGTGATTACTGAAGCATAGGTCTAACATTGCTTTTTTCTGATCTAGAGATAACGTTTACCAAGTAGGTAGGGATTTGGAGATTGTAAACACTTCACGCGAATTCAGCTTATTACCAGAAAAAAACTGAGAAACACCAACTTCACCATCAATAACAGGCGACTATGATTCTTATCGCAGATGCAAAGTACTTTGTTTTCGGATGGAGTTAATTAGTTAATACTACGTCGGTACTTATAATTTTACCTTGGTATTGTAGCTTAGTAATAATGTTTGTGTTAACTTGACCTGATGCACAGATCTCGTGAAAGTCGCATGAACAGCCTGCGCTAAAACCAACTGAGTCGACGTCCAGTTTACACAGGTAAAATCAAAAGAAGTGCGCCATATTCAAGTCATAATTTGCGTAAAGCGATAAAAACTTGTTGCTTAAAAATACCTAGTCTTTAACAGAAAATTGTAAGAGATAAAAACAACTTTCGTAAATACCTACCCACATTAAATTAAGATTCTTTGTATGGTTGTGTAACGCAGCATTAATTATTATTAATGTTGAAATTTCCATACATTCATTCATTGTATGGAAAATAATTATGTAGGTTACAGATTCGTATTTAATTAATCCCTCTTAAGAAAAACATATGTACTTACGTGTGAGACGAAAAATTGTATTATTGACAAAAATATACCAACATCGAATTCGTAATGCTTGCAGCATATTTAAATATAAATAAAACCATGCGTTTAGTTCTTGAGTTGTTTTCGTATTCATTCATTCATGCTGATTCATATTTTGACACGACGAAGTTATAGTTATTTTACGTTTTTGACGACATCATCTAGATGTTTTTTTAATTCTTATTTTCCGTCTTCCGCACAAAACAGGTCTTGCCGTTTCAAAACCAACTGAAAACGTCAATAAAAAAGTAAATAACATATTTTTTAGTTAGTGCTCGTGGGAGTTTGGCAACAGAATCCTACATCTGATTTTTGAATTATTTGTGTACATTAACACTATATGTAGATGCCTACACTTTTTATTTTTGTTTTGGCTGTATTTCCAGTAGGGGAACGTGGGGCAAGTCAATGTACTTAAGATTTAACTGTTTGTTCAACTTGAAGGCAAGAAAATATTACAACGAGAAACACTTTTTATTTTGGTGGTGTCATAATATCGGTATTTCGGTTCAAAAATCTGAGAAAGAATCAAAGATAATTTAGAGTTAAATTTAAATAGTCGCTAACGTTGATTATGAAAGGTATGGTCATTTCAACGTACTCAATTTTGTCCCTTACTGTTATGAGATCACTCGACTATAATTTCTATTTCAACAAGGCGGCAAAAGCATTTCAATGTAAAATCACGGTATTTACAAAAATCGTTTCATAAACATATGTTATTGGGTTTTTTCATTCGTTTAACATTACTTAAATGATCACTGAGATATCTTCAACCATCCGAAATTTTATGTCTTGTTTTTGAAGTAATTTGAAAGAATCTCGGATACACCTTGCGTTTTGTTTTTAAAGTACATAGTTTGAAAGAATCTCAGGGACCACTTTTGTTTTGTTTTTGAACTGGTTTAAAATAATCTCTGATTTTTTAAGTAATTTTAAAGAATCTCGGGGATCCCTTTTGTTTTGTTTTTGAAATAATTTTAAAGAATCTCGGGGGCCTCTCATGTTTTGTTTTTGAAATAGTTTTAAAGAATCTCAAGGACATCCTGTGTCTGGTTTTTGAAGTAGTTTTAACGAATCTCGCAGACCCCCTTTCTTCTGGTTTTGAAGTAATTTGAAAGAATCTCGGAGACCCCTTCTGTTTTGTTTTTGAAGTAGTCTGAAAGAATCTCGTGCACCTCTTGTGTCTGGTTTCAGAAGTAGATCGAAAGATTCTTGGGGGCACCCCCTGTTTTGCTTTTAAAGCAGTTTTAAAGAGTCTGGGGCACCTCTTGTGTCTAGTTTTTGAAAAAATTTGAAAAAATCTCGGGCACACATTGCGTTTTGTTTTTGAAGTAGTTTGAAAGAATCTCAGGGGCTACTTCTGTTTTCTTTTTGAAGTGCTTTAAAACAATCTCAGAGACCTCTTGCATCTGATTTTTGAAGTAGTTTGACAGAAACTTAGGCACCTCTTGTGTCTGGTTTTAGAAGTATTTTGAAAGAATCTTACGAACACCCTCTATTTTACTTTTGAAACAGTTTGAAAGAGTCTCGAGCACTTCTTGTGTCTAGTTATTGAAGTAGTTTTAATGAATCTCGAGGATCCCTTTTATTTTGTTTTTGAAATAAATTTAAAGAATCTCGGGGACCCCTTCTATTTTGTTTTTGAAGTAGTCTGAAAGAATCTCCGGCACTTCTTGTGTCTGGTTTTAGAAGTAATTTAAAAGAATCGGGCACACCTTGCGTTTTGTTTTTGAAGTACTTTGAAAGGATCTCGGGGGCCACTTATGTTTTGTTTTTGAAGTGATTTAACAGAATCTCGGAGACCTCTTTTGTCTGGTTTTTGAAGTATTTTTAAAGAATCTTGGGGATCCCTTTTGTGTTGTTTTTGAAATAATTTTAAAGAATCTCGGGAACCACTCATGTTTTATTTTTGAAATACTTTGAAAGAATCTCAAGGACATCCTATGTCTGCTTTTGAAGTAGTTTAACGAATCTCGGGGATCACTTTTGTTCTGGTTTTGAAGCAGTTTGAAAGAGTCTCGGGTACTTCTTGTGTCTAGTTTAGGAAGTAGTTTGAAAGAATGTCGGGGACCCCTTTTGTTTTTGAAGTGGTTTGAAAGAATCTCGGGGACCTTTTATATCTGGTTCCTCGAGTAGTTTTAAAGAATCATGGGTACCACTTTTGCTTTGATTTTGAAGTAGTTTTAACGAATCTCAGGGACCCCTTGTGCCTGATTTTTGAAGTGGTTTAAAAGAATCTCGGGGATCCCTTTTGTTTTGATTTTGAAATAGTTTGAAAGAATCTCGAGCACTGGTTTTTGATAGATAGATAAAGATAGATAGATAAGTTTATTGCACAACAGTACAAACGGTTAGTTAACAGTGTATACCTACTGATAATTAACTTAACTAACCTAAGAATAAAACAAATAAAATCATACATCAAACACAATAAAAAAGGAACACAAATTTAAAATTTATTAAAAGAAATGCCTAAGTCGGTACCTCGTAAAATATCAAAAATTAGCTGCTTTTTAATGACTTAGCTGGACATATCAAGAAATTGATCTAAGTGATTCACAATATTTTTGAAGTAGTTTTAAAGAATTTTGGAGACCCCTTCTGTTTTGTTTTTGAAGTACATATTTTAAAGAAATCTCGGGACTCTCTTGTGTCTGGTTTTTGAAGTTGGTATATAGTTTGAAAGAATCATGGGCATCTCGTTTGTCTGGTTTTTGAAGTAGTTTGAAAAAATCTCGCGGATCCCTTTGGTTTTGGTTTTGAAGTAGTTTGAAAGAATCTCGGGGACACCTTGTGTCTGGTTTTTGAATAAAAAAATCTGATACGTTAAACTTAGGTGTATTAAACACGGACTCTGAAATTTTTGGAACTATACGATAGCATTAAAAATTTTCTTTTAACTGTCCTCCAAAATATTTATGAAAATTTTGAATTAATTAAAAAATTACTAGTCTTTCCAATATTCCTTTCAAACATATAAAGACCTTTTAATAAAGACATCGGTTAATATGTCGAAATACTAGTATATACATGGTGCTTAAAAATGGGTATACTCAGAACGTTATTTTTTAGTTACTAACATTTTTTGGTGTTTTTTGCGTGGTTGGTGTACTACGTAAAAGTATTGAGACTCACAAAAATAAATTTCAACAAATTATTTACAGAGTACCAAAACATAAAATACTTTAACTTTTTTTACTAGTACATATCAGGTATTCAATTGAAAAAGTCATCAAGTTGACGTTGATTTTTTGTAAACATTGTGAAGTATGCAATAAACCTACAATTTAATAACGCCAACTTGATGACTTTTTCATAACAGATTATAATTAAGAGAATTTAAATAAGTAATTTGCTGAAAATTCAGCCGTGTAAGAAAAAAACGTTTTAAACCTGAATGTGAAGTCCCTGAAACTTTTTATAAATCAGAAAGCCCTTTTGACTACCTTTTTTTTTAAAGCACCCTTGGCAAATCTTGCATTTCCACCTCTAACACAAATAGTGATGTACCTATTTTAAGTCTTCGTCAGAGAGAAACCCTGACATATACACTTTACAACCAACCTATAGTCAATTTTGTTAGTTTCTAATACTACAATGTTTTAGACCGCCCCTCACCACCCGGCAAACCGCGCCTCTCATCCGACAGCGACTTAACACCCGACCTAGTGACCATCGTCTGGTTAAAACCCATCCGTGATGGCGGCTCTCCAATCACCGGCTACCTCGTGGAACACCGTCGAACAGGTTCACCCCATTGGGTCCGCGCTGCTCCAGTTCTTAGTCCTATCCCAGAACTTACCCTAAGTGGACTTGAACCCGGCTGGCGGTACCAATTTCGGGTACGCGCAGAAAATGCCGTCGGCTTATCAGACCCCAGCGAGATATCCGAACCCCTTACAGTCACTCTCCAAAAATTTGCAATCACCGCCCCCAAGTTCACCGAAGAATTGAAAGATGTGACGGTGCTGGAAAACGACAAGGTGGAGTTCATTGTCCACTTTCTGGGACAACCTCCGCCTAAAGTCTGCTGGTTCAAGGACGGGTTTGAGATATTCAGTAGTCGCAGGACGAGGATTTTTACAGAGAATGATAAAAGTATTTTGACTATACACCAAAGTGCGTTATCGGATGAAGGAGAGATTAAATGTACAGCCACAAATAAAGCTGGACATGCTTCCACGAAAGCTAGATTGTCTTTGGAAGCACCACCCAGTATACGATTGCCGCGGCAGTATGAAGATGGATTGTTGTTCGAAATTGGTGAAGTTTTACGATTGAAAGTGTCTGTTGCTGGACGTCCGACTCCTCTGGTTTTTTGGAGCCACGATGGAGAAACGATTCAAAATAACGATCGATATGAAATCGAATACGTCGATAAATGCTCGATTTTGAAGGTTGGGGAAGCTTCAAGAACCGATAGGGGAGAGTACCAAATTAAGGCTGTCAATAAAATAGGGGAAGATATTACTTCGTTCTTAGTTACAATAACCGACAAGCCGTCTCCTCCTGGTAAAGCCAGGGTTGTTATGACTCTCGGAAGATCAGTTACTTTGTCTTGGAGCATCCCTGACGATGACGGTGGTTGCAAAATCGGTAACTATATTATAGAATATTACAGGTTAGGGTGGAACGTTTGGCTTAAAGCAGCCACCAGTAGGCAACTAACCACGATCTTGGGAGACTTGATTGAAGGGAGCGAGTACAAATTTAGAGTGAAAGCAGAAAGTCCATATGGAGTGAGTGAACCTAGCGAAGAATCTGATATTGTTTTTATACCAGATCCCAAGAGAGGCATAACTTCGCCCCAAGCACGTAGCAGAAGTCAACCCAAAGACATTATTGATGAAATTGCAGCCCCTATTGCCGCCAGGAGAAAGAAAACTCAACCCAGATCCCAATCTTCTACCGCCAAAGTCGAAGCTTTTACTACCATGTGTGATGAAACTCCAAAACGACCAGACAGGAATCGAATTAAAAGTCCACCTAAAACGCCTGATCTTTCTCCTAAAGCTACTAGGAAAGAGTTCAGTCAACAAACTCTTATTGACAGAGCGTCTTTAGCCCGTGAACTAGCTTACGGAAGCCCGGAAATCAAGGTCAAGAAAACCGAAGTAGATTTACCAAAATCGAACTATATCAGAACTAGCCCTCCTGAAAGACCGCCTCCTGCTCCTGCTGTTGTTAAATCTCTAAGTCCCCCACCTGCACTTAAACCTAAAAGTCCTAGTCCGTCACCACAACCCAAAACACCAAGCCCGAGTCCCTCGCCTCAACCTAAAACACCCAGCCCAAGCCTTTCGCCCCAACCTAGAACTCCCAGTCCCAGTCCTTCTCCTTACCCTAGAACTCCTAGTCCAATCTCTCCACCTCCACCTAAATCACCTAGTCCAAGTCCCGCACCCGTCGCTAAAACCCCCAGCCCCAAATCGTCTCTCGTAAACGAAGACAAAAACAAAACACCAAGCCCCAAAGACAAGCGCAGCTTTCTTCGTGAAAAATCGGAAACTTTCGAAGAAAGTTCCGAGTTTATGTTAGTTCTGTATCCGGACCGTCAAGAAAAAGGTACCCATTTTTTTAATACCGTACAAAATAATCAAACTATATTTCAGGTTCAGGCCAACGGAGGTCTTCTCAAAACATAGCGTTTGATTTTGACGAATTCGATATTCCACCTCCGATTTCCTTATCTGCACCAGAACTGGGAGTGGAACCACCAATTTTCGAAAATCTCAAACCTTCAGCAAGTTCCACCGAGTTGTTACACGAGCGCGCCATGATGAGGTTCAACGAAGCTGCAGCCGCTGAAGAAGAAGAACTACGGAAACGCAGGAAGTTCAGTTATGACGGTCAACACACTATTGAAATACCGAAAATACAAATCAACTCGAAGGATGATACGGATATCGTTGGACTTGAACGGAAACCATCCCGGCGAAGATCTTCAGGAAGTGTCGTCCAACAACAACTTCTATGGGCGCAAAAAAGGTTCAGTTTGAAGAATTCGGGCGACTTGACTGAAATGGTAGAAAACAAACGACAAAAGTCGCCGAAACCTAACACCAGTCCAGACTCGACGAAAAAAGAAATGGTGCGGCAAAGATCCGAATCCGAAGAACGCGAAGAAGAAGAGTTCGAAAAAGTGAGAACTAAAATGGCACTCAAAGGTCAGTCGAGTTTTGAAAAACGCAGCATCGAAGTCGTGGATGAAGACAAGTGGATGGAAGATTACGAAGAGAGTTTATCGGAATCGGAAACTGAATCTTCGGAGGATGAACGAAACTATGAAGAAAAGCCGCCACCACGAGCGTACAGCGATGAAGATGAAGATACGTACCATCCAGGGTTCATGACTGGACCACGACAGCTTTCAGCAAAAGACGAACCTTTTGAAATCTTAACAAAACGCAACAAACTGCCTGACCCGAATTTTGTTCCAAAACCTATTTTGAAGAGAACGGAAGAAAAGGTGGAACCCGTTATTAAAGAAACACCGAAGGAGGTAGTGAAAGAAACACCAAAGGAGATACTTAAGGAAACAGCTTCTGCAAAAACGCGTTCTCACTCTCCTAGACCACAATTTAGACAGCCGCAGGATATCACAAGAGAACGGTCCCAGTCATTAGCGCAGCCAACACTGGGACCAGGAGTATCGAATAAAATTTTCCAAAGATCGTTTTCAGTTAGTGAGACGGAAAAGGCTAACATACCGCAAAACTTAATGCCTTCGTCTAATATTGCACCGGGTCAAAACATATCAGCGGTAGCTACACTTTGTGGAATCACGGCTGCAAGTATCGTAATTCCACAGGAACTATTACGGAAGAAAACAGACGAAGAGGAAGCCAAAGTTGTCGTCGATCATTATATGGATATTGTGAGAAATTATGGACAAAGAAAGAGGAGCAATCCGCAAATTATCACTAACTGGAAAACTATTGATGAACCAAAGTCGACTCAGAGAAGTTGGGACGCTCTTGAAGACACAGAAGACAAAGAAGATACAACTCCATTAAATAAGACAATGGAAGAACCTAAACCAGTCCAGCAACCTTGGAAAGCGCCTGAAGAAATCCCCAAACCTGTTCAGACACCGTGGAGAAGTTCCGACATTAAAGAACAAGTACCATTAAGACCCATGCAACCTACATGGTTAAATCTCCAGGAAAAAGAACCTTCTCCACCACCAGTCAAGCAAGAACCACTACAAATATCAAACACTATTAAACCTTATAAACCTGAAACGGTTCAAAAAAGAAGCGACAGAAGTCCGTCGCGTTCACCTTCTCCTCACAGAGTCCTTCCAAGTCAGCAGCGTGGCAGAAGTATGCAGGAAGGACGTCGTAGAATTTCCACAAGATCAAAAACACCCACAAAATCCCCGTCAAGACTAGAAAATTGGTCCGGACGTTCGCAGAGAAAATCTTCACCTTCTCCCATGAAAGTAAAGACCACCACTAGAAGAACACCATCGCCGTCTCCAATTCCACTCGCTAAACCTAAACCGAAATTGAAGGAAATCATGACGCAAACCTCTATCGGACTGGAATTAAATTATTCCAGTGATTCCAGAACGTCGACCCCGAACGACAAGCGCCAAGAAGAATTGCTGGCAAAAGCAGAGTTTAAAGTCAAGAGTTTCGTTGATTATCTTACAGATTTGGCAATGTTTGCTGTTGCTTGCTGGTTGTATTTATTCAGTAACGAACTTTTGGCAATCCCTGTTTTGTTGGTTATGGTTTACAGACAGTTGAAGAATGAAATTGGAAAGCGAATACCCAAATGGATTGTGCGACGGTTCAATAAAACAAAAACGACAAAAAAATAAATGTCTTTTCGAAAATTGTTACATTTTCTTTAGTCTTTGTACTCACTCCAGTTAATGCACTCCTATATTGTTATTTAGATTTTTGTGTAGTTGTATTTTTACTTTAAGGTTGTGTGAGAATCTTCGTCGATTTTAATCCTCTATCGTGTGCAAAATATTACGAGGATACAGTGTTATACGATATGTATGAAATCTATGATTTCAATTATGAATTATTTACTTATTTACCTTCCGGGGAACGAATGTATGTACATTAAAATAAACGATGTATATACTTCTTGCCAGTAACACTGTCTTTCAGTTGATATCACTAAAGTCAGCCTTTCCAAAGGGAGTTTGTTTTTTCCTGGACGGTTACTGAGGTATTATAGTTACGCTTTACCTTATATTCAGCATGTGCATAAAAAGGGGAAACAGAAACACTCCACTTATTAAATATATGTATTTATTAAAAATTTTTATAAACATACTACTATGGAAAAATAACAAGGCACATGTTCACATGAATGGCACAAGTCTAGTGCATACAGTAACAAAAATAATCTATTTCTACATAAATAAAATTATGTACAAATGAGATTTTGTTTTGAGACCGAACGTTTTAAGATCTTTCCCAGAATAACTAACAACTACAGGAATTCATTTCATATGGAATAAACAAAAAACAAAAATAATGAAAAAACAATAACTGGGCTTGTTCTAACCCTGACCCTGACGTTAAGTTGTTGAACCTCTTCTTGGTCAGAGAATAAAAAAAATATTTCTTTTCGTATTCACACTCTCTACGTAAGTTACAACGTTATTAAATTTATCACAGATACGATTGGGCAAGAATACATAGGACAGGCGCATCCGCAACTCACCCAACTGGTTATTTATTCGTATTCTTAAAAACTACTAAAAAATACGTTTTAGGTATATACAAGATCTTATAGACTCATTTTGTAATATGTATATACAAAAACCATGCCATATGCAATTAATGGCACCAATTATTGTCATAATTTTGACATTAGTTCCTAATATTAAACCTATGGGAATTAAGTAGCAATATGCAGTAGAACACAGCCTCATCCCCTCTTATATAACAAAAGTACGAAAGGCCGTTACTTGTTTGTACATCATTCACATCAGTCCGTCAGACGATAGCGCCATCTTTGTTCCGCTGCAGCGGCTGCAGCTCCCTCTGCAGCCTATCGAAGTCGTTGTAGTACTCGTGATCCGACTCCTCCTCGGAACTGCGCTGCGGCTGGAACGGCGGGAAATTCGTATTCTCAGGAATGGCAGGAAGACCTACAGTTTGGCTGGGAGCCGCTTCATTGCTCATAAGATACTCCGGATTGTCGATGTTGTTCTTATAAAAGTCTAAAGATCTAAACACACCACTTTGACTCGGATTGTCCGTGTTTTGGGAGTCGATTAGATCGACGTACGTAGACGCCCCTTGCGTCTGCTGCGGCGAAGGCATGAGGTAGTCGTCCTCGTCGACCGGCAAGTCCAACTTCAAACTCCCCACCTGGGCCTTGGAAGGACCCGAGTCGTACTCGTCAGACGAGACGTCGTCGCGAACCTTCATTCCATTCGGGAACGGAGGAGCGCTTGGAGGGTACTTGAGCAATTTCCGATTCAAATGGTTTTGGTACTGAGGGTTACAACTCCCGTCGGAGTTGGTCTGAGACGCCGACTTCCAGTACTTGTCCGGGGTCGGAGAAGGATACATCGAGGAACTCCAACCCATCGGGTGAAGAGGCGCCCGGGATTTGGGTTGAAGACACTCGTCGAACTCAGATTGGCTACCCGAGGTTTCAAGAGTTGACGCTAAATTGCGCAAGTCCTCCTCCTGCACAAACACAAAATTACACTCAAATCATTTTCCATGTTGTTTTAACGTACCTGAGTTGAGTAATTTCGGTCCCCTGGGGCTGCTAAATATCTTCCGGGTTCGCGCGACATTTTGCTGAAGTCTTCGGCTAACTCTTTAAAGCTGGGTCTGCCTTCGGCATCCAGGATCCAACACTTCACGAGGATCATGTAGACGTCGATACTGCATCCTTCGGGTTGTGGCAGCCTTTCCCCTTTTTCCAACAATTCGGGAACGTCTTTGGCATGCACGTTCTCGTAGGGTTTGCCTCCAAAGGTTAACAATTCCCAGATTGTTACGCCGAACGCCCAAACGTCGGATTTGTGTGTGAATATCCTGTGCTGAATACATTCCAAAGCCAACCACTTGATGGGCATTTTCCCTCCAGCCGCCTTGTACTCGTCTTCATTCACATCTAGTAATTTGGCTAAACCGAAGTCTGTGATTTTAACGGTTGAGGAACTTTGAACTAACACATTTCTCGCCGCCAAATCCCGATGGACTAAACGTTTTTCTTCCAAATATGCCATCCCTCGGGCGATTTGTGTGGACCACCGCAGGAGCTCTTTCGCGCCGATATTGTCACGATTTTTCCTCACGAAGTCCAATAAGCATCCCATGGGCATCAACTGCGTGACGAGCATGATCTCGGAAGTCATACAGACACCCAATAGTTGAAGCAAATTTGGGTGTTCCATGCTCGCCATAATGAAGGCTTCGTCCAAAAACTCTTGACTACTATTTCTACCCTGACTTGTGTTTTTGCTGTCATTCAAGACTTTGATCGCCACTGGGATTTTGTTCGTTTTGGAGTTCTCTCCTTCCAGTATCCAGAACCCTTTATACACTATACCGAAGGCTCCTTGTCCCAAGACGTTACCTCGTCTGAGTTCCGTCTCTTTGATTGTTCTTAGTCTCTTACAATTAGGAGCAACATTCGTTTGTCTCAAGGGTTCATCTTCAAGACCCGTCAACGCCATCGTCATTTTCAACGTATTCTCTTCGTTCTTAACTTTCTTGCGACAGATCCAGATAATCAAGAATCCCACTATTAACGTGATTACGGCCAAGACAATGCCGACCGTGGTTACAATGATGGTGGAATTGTTGTCTCCGAAACTCGTTGATGACATGGTAAGAGGTCTGTCAGAACAATAGGCGTTGGCGTTATCCGGAAATGCCCGGTGGGGGAATTCTGGCGGGCAAGTAGACATGCAACGGAACGACGAATTACTTAAAGGGTCTCCATTATCGTAGACTTTGTAATTTTCGCATAATACGCAGTTTTCGGGTCCCGGGCCTGTACACCCACGACATTCTGGATCGCATGGTTTGCATTCTTGAACTTCGTTATCGGCGTAGTCGTTGTATGGACATTCGTCTTCGCACTGTTCGCCCTTTTTGTAGTGAGTACATTTTTGACAAACTAGTTCGTGGAAGCCGTAGCCGGTGCAGAGTTTGCATCTGTAAAGACGGATTAAATAACAAAGCTATGAGAGTGTGGTGTGCGGTACTTACCTAGGGTGACATTTACGACAAATTGCTTTCCCGGCCATTGACTTCAGGGACTCGTGCTCTTGAGGTCCCAAGTATTCGTAGTAGTACCCATTAGGGCAATTCTCGTTTTTGTCCAAGCAATAATCGATGGTGGCGTTTTCGTTCATTATTGCTTTCTCACAGGAGTTGCAGCCGTTTATTCCGACCGTGTTTGAGGGTCCCATACAACCTCCAACGCAGTTCTGGTGGCAGCTCTTGCATTGTCCGTTCTCAGCGTACTTGTTAGTAGGGCATTCAGGAACGCAGTAAGGGCCGTCCTGGAAATGCTTGCAGGTGTTGCATTTGTCCGCACCAGGACCTTTACACGAAGAACCGCATTCCTCGTGGCAACGCTTGCACAAAGTGTGGCTTGCTTGATAAATCCTGAAAAGGAGTGACACTAAGAAGATGAACTTTGAGACAAACCGCGATTTACTCACCCCGGCAAGACTGAACAGTTGGCAATACATCGGCCTTCTATGTCTAGTTGGAAATGGGCGCACGATAAGCACTGTTCTGGCCCCGAGCCCCAACAACCATCGCTGCTACACTCGCTATCACAAACCAAACCCGCCTTTTCGCATTCCTTCGGATCGTTGTTGTTCGACAGCATCAACACATTTTCCCTGGTTTTACGTATCTTGTTCCAATTAATTCCCTCCGCGAAACACAAGTGCTTGTTTTCCAGGATAGCAACCGTCCCTGCGTTGAGTCGTCTCAGCGATCTGAGCTCAAGCGACCGTAAAGACGTCTTCACGATGTATAACGAAGTGAAATACTCGTGCAGTGACCTCCCACCTATCACTTCCAAGTTTCTGAAGTACGACAAGTTCGTGAACTTTTCGTGGTAGGCTTGGATGTTGATGTGCCCGGTTATTTCTTTGAGGGTACTAAACACTTCCAGCCTGTCTGGATCCATCTGAGTATATCGTTCCCCGAAAGTGTAATTCGGGTAAATGTGTTGGAACCCATCGAAAGTATTCTGAAGAATCATAATATCTCCTTCTATCACAGTACACCCTTTGAAACTATCGATGTTCCCCGAATTTATGGAAGTATCACTGGTACAAGTTTTCGGACAGGGTCCATCGCACGGAACGCACGCCCCTTCATGCGCTTTTTTGTGGGGTGGACACGCCCGAACGCACGCTCCATTATCCTTGAGCAAGTGTTCCGGACAGTTCTTCACACACGTAGCACCATATGCGTATTTCCCTTTCGGATTATTCTCCCACGAATACGTTATGGGATTGTAAATCTGCATGGGAGGACACTCCTGCGTGCACACCCCATCATCGTAAAAGTTTCTGCATGCTATGCAATCGCTTTGCTTAGGTCCCGTACACCCCCCGGCACAAAACAGATGACAACACTCGCGCGGGTTCGGCCCGAAACAACGTCCTTGGTAGCACTGGGGGCTGCAGTTCTCTTTGGAGAACTTCTGACAGTTCCTTTCGCCCTCGCCCCAACACCCTTTCTCGCAATTCTTGTGGCACGGAGGACATTCGCGCTCCGGCGACGTGAAATTATAAACGAAGAGGTAACGGCCCACGGGATCCGTGATGATCTCCTTCCAGTTGATAGTCTTCACGTGGCAGAGGTTGTAGTTGTTGAAGAGGCCAATGCTACCTTTGAGAACGTCGCGCAGTGCGGGTAGTTCCAGAGTGAACATCTTGGAGAGGGTGACCAAGAGGGCGAAATCCTCTTCGCGCACGTTCATTCTGAAGAGGGTTCTTCCCCGGATGATTTGCAGCCGGGGTAGGACGATCCGCTGGATGTCGACGTGGGAGATGAGGACGTACCCCGTCACTTCCCGAATGGAGTGGAGGAAGCTCAAGTCGAGGTTCTCGTCCTGGAGCCATGTTAGCTCGAGGTTGCCATCAACGTAGGTGCAGTTGCCGTAGCGGTCTTTAAGGTTCCGATAATGATGGTCGCGATTGGATGGGACGGACATGCGGCCATTTGTCCCGATGCAGACTGGAAAGGCAAAAAAGATGTTAGATTTGAGCACGCTGGAGAAAGAGTGCATTGACACTGTACTGGATGATGGATGCGTTGTAAGCGTGGAAGATGTCGTTAGGTGATTTGAACAGATGTTCAAAAACAAACAATCGAATGGTGTTGTTATTGACATTTGGAATGAAATTTACATTGGACATTTGCGCTCCGCAGGCCCGATTCGGTGTTGCTTAGGCTTGAATCGGGGTCACGTATGTGTTGTTTTCGGACTTATTCAACGTACGACGATTTGTTTTGAGGGGTACTATCTCGGAATTAAACCAACCGAGATATTTCGAAAGCGTGATAAGCAATTTAAATATTTAAATATCTTGTTGGTATTTAAATCTTTGTTGACACGAGAAAACGTTTCTGTTGGAGATTTTCCCGCGCTTACGCGTACGGTACCAACAACAGCGTACTTTTTCTCGAAACCTCCTGGCGCCAAAAATGGAAACAAAAACCCTTGCTTCCCTCAAAAAATCGCATGAATCTTGGACTGCATGTACGGCAAACTACTTGTTAATGCGGCGCCACCAACTCGTTCCTAACGGGAACCGGCACCCCGCACCCCCTCCAGGAGGTGCAACTTTCCTTACCTGGCGTGCGATTAGTACCGTACTCGAGAGCAGGTAAATTCCATGAAAAAAGACCAACAAAGCAAGGGCCACTTGAGCGACAATCGACGCGCACAAAAGAAAAGGAACACCGTTAGATTAATAAAACGACGTAATGGGTCTAGGCTGCATTCGGCAACAGGTCCTCCCACGCCGCCTACCGGCGGCTCCCCAAACCATTGCAAATTAATTACCTTAAATGGTCATCGGTTTTGCAACTTTACCGTTACGGGGCGTCCTGGGAATGGCCTTCGATTGTCGCTGTCCCATCGGAGTCACGTGACCGCGAAAGTAAAACCAGATCAAGCGGCGATGGGTTTTTTGTTTGTGGCCTAGTACGAAAAGGTCGCAACCACGATTTTCTAGGGGGAGTTTCACGGTGGAGAGTTGTGATCGTAAAAATGGTGAGGAATCCCACGCAACGCCCACTGGATATTGTCGACCGGATTATAAATAAACAAATGTTATAATGCGCGTTATTAATGGTAATTTCTGTGGCCATTTAAGCAGTTGCAATCATACGTCATTCGCGTTTCTTTTGCCTGTCTAAATGAAGGCATTGTAGGTTGATTGATTGCCGAAAGAAAGCGCAACAAAGGCTCTTTGTTGAGAGATAAAATCGAGACCTGATTTACACGATAAGGGCTGGTTTTTACCTGTTCCACACGGGCTACTTGGAGGGGAGTGATCTTGCTTGCGCTACCAAATGTTAAATAAGAAAACGCTAATTAATTTATTCGGAATGATTTGTGGTTCCGGCGAATTCTCACATTTTAGGTACGACTTTCACCACTTAGTTTCAACGAGCCGACAAAAAAGGTCAAAATTATTAATTGAGTAACACATTGCAGTTAATGCAACTGTAAATTGCGAAAATATTAGAAAACTGCAAAACCCAGTCACGTAAAAACATTTCAAAAGGTCAAGCAAGTGCATCGAAACAACAAACTTTTTTATTCCAAGACAGATCCAAGATTTAGGTCTATCGTAATCTATCTATCGTTTTCCACGTTTCTATGGATGACCTGGGACCAATAAAAGCTCACCGCACTCGAGAGTAGGGGAAGGCTCCACAAGGCAATGACAGACTGGCAACATATTTTGAATTCTATTTTTATGAAGTGGCCGTTAAAGCTACAAGTTCTCTGACAGATACCCTGGCTTTTTTATTGACTACTATGTATGGTTTTCGTTAAATGATTTAAGTACGATTTGAGTGGTTTTTGATAACTCAACCTTATCTAACCTAGAAAGAATCAAAGTTGGTGTCCTGCAAGGATCTATTTTAGGGTCCAGAGACTTTATTATGTTTACTAATAATCTTGTCCGTAATATTGAGACATCTTGGCAGTACTTGGTCGTGCGCATGGGCACCGACAATGAAATGAAACCCAGCCGTATTATTACAACTGTATAACAGCCAGATTGTCGAGAATGATAATAGCATGGAAGCAATTACAATGCTTCAAAGTCAAGCCCCTGATCCATCTCTTCGTTAAAGAACAATCATCCTTATCACAGCTTCGCGCTCTTATTACACGTAACCTACCCGATTCCGCGCGCCATCTGCCGTGTGATAGCGTACCATATGGTAGTCGCGTACGGTCTCCATTGGAAGTATCTCCATTATCGTAATTATTATCATCATCAATAATAATAAGGCAATCAAGTGGCCGCTGTTTAGGCCGCGTCCATATCGCTTTGTCTCGCTCGTGCTCACGGCCGCCTAATTGGTCCGCGTGCTTTTCACGATATCATCAGTACGCGGCTTTCTGGGAGTTCGGTTCATTTATTCCAGGACAAAAGAACTAATCAACGACAGACTGCAAGTCACTCTTCAATTTGTTGGCAACCTTGATGAAGGGCAACGGTCACTACGGGAAAATATGTAAAACGAAAATTAGTACTGCCGTGGTCGAATGCCTGACGGCGGAGTCACCATGCCTTATATGAAGATTTATTAACGAGTTTACGGCGCAAAAAATGCGTAATGAGATGGTACGACCAGATTGCCGAGGTGGTACCGTTTGATGCGGAATCGTTTGATCGAGCGTTTTGCGTTTCGACTTTCTACAGTGATTCTGCGGGCCTTTCACATCAGGTGGTGCTTCGGTACTGCGGTTTTGAGCGAAAATACGTATTTGGAGGCGTTATCGACCAAAAATGGAAGCTCTAGAACTCGTTAAATCACTCATGTGCTGCTTTTTGTAAGAATCTATTAGTAAATCCTTGCGCTACAAGTTTTTTGTCGTGTAAAGGATACAAGGAAACGGTTCGAATGGGATTGACATGGAGAATTAAAGCGGAGATCTGATGGTACTACTTTGGATGGATGCCGATGAACAACGGCGATTCACACACTGGCGAATGGCAACTTCGTGACGTTACATCACCTGCATGGTACCGAACTCGACTGGTATTCGTTTCATCCGCAAAAAATTGATATTTTAATCGATTTGGTATGACTCATAATAATTAATTTTTTTAAACTAGTCTTCCAGCTACACATGAAACGACTTTTTAATATACGGTTTGCACAAAAGAAATAGCTAATTTTACGGTACGAATTGATATTTGAACATTGTAGCCGAAAATTTTTTAAACGTTGGTCCAATTTTGTAACTTTCTAATGTCCTTCTGAAACCTGTCGATTCTTAGAAACACTAAGCACTTTTGTTACTAAATTAGTACCAGGTCCTAATGCACGTATTTTTTTACATACGGGGCTAATCTGATTCTATGAAGCAGACATTATTAACCGGTACTACCTTGACTTAAATTGGAATTTCCAAACAAAGTGTTCTAATAACAAGCATGAAGAGTCCAGATCGAGTTATTAATACACAGATTAATAAATTAAGTAGCTTATTTAATGGTACCATATAAAGCAACCGGCGAAAATGCGTGTAAGCAACTTTAATTAAAATATAAATAGGCATATTCTCGGTAGTACCAACAACGTACTTTGACACCCCAGCTTTTAATTTTTTTGGGCAGATTTATTGAAGTATTTGTGAATAAAATAATCGAAATGCGGCGATAAATCTTAACGTGCAGCGTTAGATTCCTAGTGCCCCGCTGAGAACAAAATGGCTTTTTTCATGGTACCACTTCTAACCCGACGAGGGTACACGCGACTGCCTGCCCGCATAAATAATCGCACCGTTTATAAAATTTATGTGTGACGGGGTTTTAGTAGAAAATCAATTAGTACCATTTACACGGAATGGGAGCAGATGAGATTTACGGTACCACTTTTCAATAATTACGGCTGGCGTATCCGTAAACATCGCGGCTGGCTAATGGCGCGATTATTCAGGTGATGGCGAAGGTACCATTTGGAATAAACAGCCCAGCCGTCTCGTCGTCAAATTATTGATAATCAGTACTCGTCCGTACCATTAGTGTCGGCAATTACGTGAGCTATTAATCGTGTTGACAATGACCAAGACAATATTGATTCTTTGTGAAATTCCCCAAGACCACGTACCACAAATATTTGAACGAAAAGGCCACGAGAGCAGTACCATCAATATTTGTTGGAAACTGTCGTCGACAATAAATTAAATCGTTGTATCAGGTGTGTCAACACGTTCTTCTTGAAAATTTGTCTTTACACGTCGGCACACAACATTAGCGAATCACGTGACCAGTACTGCCTATGGTACGACTTTCAAACAATTACACATGCGACTCGATGAAGATTTCGTTTCCCAGACAATTACCACGTCTGGAATATTTTTCGATTGTTTTGAAGAATTTTGCTTTTCTTATTGAGATCGGCACGCTCGAATATGGCGGCCATTAACATACATCAAGTGCATATCTCGAGGACGATTAAGGTCGAGGACCGTAAGCGTGACAGCTAATTTTTAAGAGCTCGCGGTCAGTAACGAATTTTCCCACAGAAGCGTAATCTGGACGATTTCGACGCCATTTTTCCACCTGTCAACGCAACTGCATGTAACTTAAGTAAGCGTAAAATTGTAATTTTAGAGTCAACGAAGAGTCCTTTATTTGGGTGTCGAGATGAGTCGGGATCCGATTACCTTACACAAAAAGCGGTCACTCTTTAGAAAGAGCGGTACCAACCGCAGCCTCCATCTTATATTCCTAGCAGGCACTTTGAATACCCTCGAAACAAAAAAATGCTAAATTGAGCGAAACATTGTCCATAAACTACCAACAAGATTAAGTTTATTGTTTTTGCGGTCAAGTGGGAATAGCATACTGTCTATGTTATGTGTCCGATACATCAAGGTTGCAAGCGCAGCGCTGGGACGTTACATCTGGGAGTACGCGTACTGGTTCGAACCCATGTAACGAACCCGTGTAATGATCAGGACCAGACACGACTGCCTA